AAAAACCCTACTAGTTATCCTCTAGAAGATCCTCGTTATCGTCGCCTACTAGGATATCTATTAGTACGCTGGTGTATATTATTATAAGATAGAGAATATCACTTACTCTCCTTAGCGGCCGCGATTAGCGCCCTTCTAAGGCGCGTAATATAGCGCGTGGGGATGCCCTCGAGGTTAAGCGTTATTAAGGTCTTATTTTTACCGGCGGGGGGATCTTCGGTAACACGTTTACGTTTATTCGAGCGCGGGGTTTCGTTAACTTCTATTTAAGTTAGTATATTATCGTATAGCATTATAAACTAACTTACCGGCTAACGAGTAACTAGACGAGCCCGCGCTAATAGTATAATTACTATAGCCGCCTTTACCGAAGTCTTTTAGCACTATACACGACGTAAGTATACCTTTTCCTATAGTATATTTATCGCACCGATAGCGGCCCCGCTTCTCGTTACCGTATATTTGCACGAATAACCCGGAAAGAGCCTGCGAGCGTGTTATATTAAAATCAGGAAATTTGATAGCCGTGCCTTTGTGATATTTACGGCATATAGTAATTCTATATTTAATCTATATACTTATTAGCGTATATTATCGTACGTTAATATAAAGATATATACGGTGGGATTATTCTTATTTATATACTGCGAGATTGTACTAGCGCACTTCTATTTAAGCTTTATATATCGAATCGTTAGTAAACTGCTATATAGAACGTGTATAGATATATACAGTTAAGTATAAAGGTATCTAGTAGCGGGGATCCTAACGTTTCTTTTAGCTAGATAAGGGGGGAGGGGGGGGGGGTAATTCTTCTTTATCGATTTTTATCGGCTACTAGTACTATTCGTCGCCCGCTATTCTTACTAGAGATTATTTACTTATACCCTTTTGCGTATAGAATCGTTTCGTCTTGTATAATAGTATATAACCTATCACGTAATGAGTTAGCCCTAATCTGGAACGGTTTTGCGATATCTTACCTTGACTAGTATAGCTAAAGCATTAAAACTAATCTTTCTGACCTATAAAATCCGAATCTTAGCCTGTTAGACCCGTATAATCGAGCCCTGATACTACCTTAGATGGATCTTACCTGCGCAGGACCGGATATAGGGGTAACTTACTAGCCTGTCGTTATCTGAAGAGTGAAAATAAGATTAGGTCTGGCGGTGGCGTTATAGTTATGGTAGTAAAAAAAATTTCCTTATAGCGTATTAGCTCGTTATTACATTATAGACTTTTCTTTTACTACTAGGGTATTTATATATACGAATATATACTATAGCGTACGGGTGTTTTTTCGTGCCTATAGAGTGTACCTACTAAATTTATAGGGACTTTTTCGAGTTATTATAGTGTCCCCTGCGGTATGCGGTAGTAGGTACCTACCTATGCTTGACCGAACATTGGGCCCCGCAGATAAAGGTACCCATACTAAGGTACCTTAGGTAATTTCTTAGCTGGGTACTTCTGAGCTTGACCTCTCCACAGGGCTGGAAAATCTTACCCAGACCTCACCACCATCTCCTCCCACTGTCTCCTCTATCACCACGAACACCACCACTCACTGGCCACTGGCGGGCGTCTGTTTCGCCCAACCGGCTTCTTTCTCCAGCAATGGTTCAAAGTCCCTTCGGTCATCGAAGTCCGGCCGCCACTGGTCCCTTTCTCCTGGAGTTGCAGTTGCCCGCCACGCCCACAACCTCCGTTACCTCCCAGCAACGTGATGGTCTGTCAGACTCTGTGTCTTCTTGCCACTGATCCCAGGACTATACAGCGTACCCACTGCATCCGCCCATCTCCTCAAAAAATGGAATGATGCTGGGGCAATGGGGTATTTACGGCCTTTCACCTGGCCCTTTCTATGCCGCCCAAACATGGGGTCTACCGTCGCCAGGAAATGCAGTTCCCGTCCATGGCGTCCCCATACCTAACCCTCCACATCTTGTCCCGCCCCCCCCTCCAACTCCCCATACGAGTCCCTTCGGGTACTCACATGCACTCGTAGTCCTGACCACAGCCGTGGAAGAGGAACCCCCCACGTCGTCCATCTGACCATCTCATGGCCCCATAGACTACCTACCAGTCGGCTTGACCAGGCTTGTCCCTGAGCCGTATCCCGTGGAAGGCGGTTGCTAGAGTCCCCCCGCCGTTCTCTGCCTTTCAGCTTTACTCGGAAACACGCACTCTTTTTCCGAGACTATCATAAGCTTGTCTCTCCTCCGCCGCTCATACCTACAATATATCAAGCTCGCCCCCAGCTTACCCCAATTTTGGTTCCCTCATCCTCTCCTACTCTCATACCTTCTTCATTCCGACTCTCACACCCCCACGATGGCTCCTTCAGCAGAGGCCAGCGGCACTGGCGACAGCGCCCGCGCCAACGGCCAGACCAATGGCCAGGCCAGCACTTCCGACTTTTCCTATCCTCCCGTGATCGAGCCTGGCACACCTTACAAGGTTCTGCCGCAGTACCACTCTAAGCCCACTAAGTTGCGCGTTGCCTGTATCGGCGCCGGCGCCACCGGTCTCTGTCTCGCATACAAGATGGAGAGGCAGCTCGTCCCCGAGAGCTGGGAGTTGACGCTCTTCGAGAAGAACCCTCACTTTGGCGGTACTTGGTACGAGAACACGTAAGTTGCTTTGGGGAAAAGCGCCCCTGACCCCATACGCCTCTTCTCGCTTCGTCGTCCAAGTGGTCCAACTGACTCTTTTTTTTCCGTTTCGCAGATATCCTGGCGTCGCCTGTGATGTAAGAAAAATAAACCCCGCCCCCCCCCCCCGGGTTGGCCGCTGCCTGTCTCTGGCTGCCGCCAGGACGGTCATTCTGGATCATTCCCCTTTCTCTTTTCCCTGAACCCCCACTAACACGCGCGGTTCGTAGATTCCTTCCCATCTGTACACCTTCTCTTGGGACCCCAACCCCAACTGGTCTCACTACTTCGCCTACGGTGATGAGATTCAGCGCTACTTCGAGGGCTTCGCCGAGCGGCATGGCTCCAAGAAGTACATGAAGCTCAACACCAAAGTCGTCGAGTGCCGCTGGGACGAGCCCAAGGGCCTGTGGAGCATCACGCTCGAGGACCAGGTCACCAAGGACACCTGGCAGGACTGGTGCCACGTCCTCGTCAACGGTACCGGTATCCTGAACAACTGGAAGTGGCCCGATATCGAGGGCCTCCACGACTTTGCCGGCCCCAAGATGCACTCGGCCGCCTGGGACCACTCCGTCTCCTTCGAGGGCAAGAACGTCGGCGTCATCGGCACCGGCAGCACCAGCGTGCAGATCGTGCCGTCCCTGCAGAAGGTTTCCGACAAGGTGCAGGTGTTCATGCGGTCCCCGACCTGGATCTCGCCCCCCTTCGGCGGCGGCGTCCTCGAGAAGGAGCTCCGCAAGGGCGGCGGCTCGTCGGAGCCGGGCCACCGCCAGTACACCTTCACCGAGGAGGACAAGAAGAAGTTCCGCGAGGACCCCGAGTACTACCTCATGTTCCGCAAGCAGATCGAGGCCGAGATCAACTCGCTCTTCGGCATGTACCAGCAGGGCTCCGAGATGTCGAACCAGTTCCGGAAGACCATCCAGGAGGAGATGGAGAGGCGCATCGGGCCCGGTCACGAGGAGCTGAAGAAGTTCATCATCCCCGACTGGTCCCCCGGCTGCCGCCGCATCTCGCCCGGCGACGGCTACCTCGAGGCGCTCGTCAAGCCCAACGTCAAGACCGTCTTTGGCGGCATCAAGAAGATCGTCCCCGAGGGCATCGTCACCGAGGACGGAGAGGTGCATAAGATGGATATCCTGGTGTGCGCTACCGGCTTTAACGTCGCTTTCCGGCCCGCCTTTAAGCTTGTCAACGGCGAAGGAAAGAGCCTCAACGAGGACTGGGGTGAGGGTGTCAACCTGTACCTCGGCGTTTCGGCCCCGCGCTTCCCCAACTACTATACTATCGTGGTACGTTGACAGATGTTGAAGTTGTCCGTGATGCCCTGGTGATCACCGAACCATACTAATTTCTTTTCTTTTTCTTTTCTTTTCTTTCTAGGGCCCTGGTGCGACTTGGTCATCCGGCACGCTGCTGCCCTCGATCGAGACGACGGTCGAGTACTCAATCAAGATGATGAAGAAGATCCAGCATGAGAACATCCGCTCCATCGACGTCAAGCAGGATGCGGTGGATGACATCTACGGCCACTTTGACGAGTTCCACAAGACCACAGTGTTCCAGGAGAACTGCAGGAGTTGGTTCAAGGACGGCAAGATCAAGAACCGCATCTACCTCTGGCCCGGCTGCGTACGTACTTTGAACGCTCACTCAAACCTATCTGCCTCCCCCCCCCCCAATGAAACCACGCGTGCACCTTCCTGAGCCGAAGCTAACACAATACGTTCCAGACCATCCACTTCCTCAAGACCATCAAGGACCCGCGCTTCGAGGACTACAACATCCGGTACCGGTACCCTAACCGGTTCGCGTTCCTGGGCGACGGCGAGGTCAAGGCCAACACAACGAATGATGTCCGCGGTCTGAGCACGTACGTGCGGAACAGCGACCACGACTGGAGCGTCGAGTAAACGAAGAATCTCTACGACGCGCCACGTTTTCCATTCGAAAAGAATTGCTCGTACACGAGACATATGTACGAGACCACAACGTTCTGGGCCATATCATATATATTTATATCGACCCTGTCATGAAGAGCAAGGAATGGGGGTTTGGGAGGGGGCGCTTTTGCACATAGCGGCGAAGGGGAGGAATGAAGCATCATCAATTAACATGTTACTTTTTTTTATTCTTATTCCCAACTTCCGATGGTATAGGGATGACTCGGGGCGCGAGTGGCATCGGAATGGGTTTTCTTGAATTGATTCAGGTAAGGATGGAGGGATTGTTTTGTCTATACGCTCACCTTTGCCTTTTTCAGTTTTTAGGCATGGCCTTGTGTTCTAGAACGATGTGAGAGAGAGAGGTATGAGATGGGAAAATATGAATTTGGTTCATGTGTGTCCATTTTCATCGCACCACGCTTCTTTTGCAGTGTTGTGGCGCCAGCCTTCACCCGGTGAGACAACAGTGAGACAACAAGAAAGGGGGGCAAAACAAAAAGAAATTATATAAAAAAAATTGGTACTAACGCGTTCAGCTAGGGTTGTCGAGTGGTTCCCTGCGCTACGATGGGCTTCCCCTTTCCTCATACGATATGAGCATCTGGCATCAGGTGAGCGAACGAGCCACAGCCAGGGCAGACCAACTGAGTTGCCCACCAGATCATATTCATAGTAAAGCGATCTAGAGCGACCAAGGCAATACAATACCTAATCACCACATGCACCCAACGATTCAGTTCTATTTTCCATTCTTTTTTTTTTTTCTTCTCCTTTTTTGCTCCCTTTTCTTTCTTGCCCGTTTCGGGGAATGGGGCGAGCACCAATGTCATATTAGTCCGATGCAGCACTAATCACCCGATTAGGACAAGAGCGTACGGCTTCTTCCACGTTCCCGTCGACTCCCCTCATTCTGAAAGCAGCCTGGGGTTCGGGATTGAGTCGTCAGTGCGTCACCGAGTTCTTGGAGTTGATCTTGTTGAGCTGCTTTGGTGGCTTGGTGTTGATAATGATTCATCGTGGAGGGTATGAGGGATGGATGGATCATGGATCATGGATTTACTGACAGGGTGGGCAAAGCGGAAGCAAAAACGAGGGATACAACGTAGATGCGGAGAACTCAAGAAAGAGCATACTCTTTTAAAACAGACGCAGACGACTATTTCGAATTTCGAATTTCGGATTTCGAGACTAGGAGACGCTGGCGACGCAAAAGGCCCGAGTGGTTGAGAGAACTTGGGGCAGAACTCGGGGGAGAACTGGGGAAATGGTCTGAGGAAGGCGATCCGAAGCTTCGTCGTTTGGGACTATTGAGAGGATCGGGATCTAGCCAGCCTGGAGGACGACCGACGACCCACCTTATGCGTGTGGTTGTGGTGTTAGTGCGTCGCCTTCGCCTTCGCCTGAGGGCTGAGGGGCGTACGTTGTAACTTGTATAAGCCTAACTTGCCTCCTTCGTTGGAGGCATTCACATTATATTCCGGTTCGCGGAGAATACTCCGCACATAACTATACAAAAGAATACAACAAGTGCAAAGTAGGTATAAGTGCAAGCGAGATACCCAATATGGCATGTCAAATATGCAGGATATTTCTCGGTAAGCGCCTACACACCTCATTCTCATTGCACAGACGTCACTCTCGATATCAACACCCCCCCAAGGCGAATGAATCAGGCATTTGCCGATCAGCCACCTCAAAATGAATTAAGAAGACCAAGTGGGTCTCTACTTTGCACGTCCCTGTGACCACGCAAAATCTTAACCAGATTGCTTGGATGCAATGTCTCGTTCTTGCGCTAGTGAGAGGGGGAGGGGTGGCCCAAGAATATGTACGTACCTGTGTGTGTGGTGTTCTGACAGCGTGGCTTGAAAGCGTTCCAAACGACTGGACCGCAACGAGTACAACGAGTCAGCCCCGAAGGTGAAAGAAAGGGGTAAAAGAGGGAAATGTGACGACCAAAAAAAAACCCCCCCAGGAAAAACAAAACGAAAAAAAAAAGAACAAAGAACAAAGAACAAAGGAACGGAAACAACTCGAAGCCATGAATGCAGCAGCGATAATCACAATGTAGACCTCATCTATTGGACGGAATCGGCGTATGGATTTCAATGTCCGATTTGCAGATGCAGACTGCTCCATGGCGATGAAGACTGATGCTGGTGAAGAGGATGGCCCCGAGTCCCCAACCTTGTTATGGGGATTGCGCTTGGACATTATCGAGGCCGATTGGGGTAGTTGCCTACTCTGAAAGTACAATGTAAAAACAACTTGCTCATATGTGCAAAGTGTTGATTATCAGAAAGCTAGGAATCCCCCTCATGAATGTTGTGAAGGGCTTCAATGTGAGTGCTCGCTGCAAATGGGTGGTGCAAGGTGCAACCCCTGGAATACCTTATGTGGATATTTTCTATTCTGTACCCCGGCTCCGAGTCGTCTCGGGTGCCAAAATGGAGGGGTAACAAGGTACGATATTGCAAAGGATACAAGGTACAAGGATATGCCGGGCATACGTGGTACGGTACATAAGGTACCTTATACTCCGCACTTTGTACCACGACTCGGGCGTTTCCCCCTAAAGCGAGGCCTCAGTGGTACCATTACTTTAAAAGTATGCCAGATGCCGACCTAAGAAGTAGCGTCCACTGTCGAAGGAACTGTGGACCCCTTGCCTGGTGGACTGGACTCCGGTCTATGGGGATATGGGGGTCACAGAGTCGGTGCTCGGTGCCGACCTGAACGACGACCTTGGCAGCTAAGTGGGGTAAGTGCAATAGCCGGGGCAAAAGAGGTGGGGTAACGAAAGAGCCGCGGGCCATTATCGGGAATTGAACAGATACCATTGGCTCGTCTACCGTCAGCCCCGCAGGGTCCACTATGCCTAGCTTAAGTGGGCCTTTCTCCTTCCCCAACGTTCAACGTCAAGTCCAAGGTCAGGCCCGAAAACACCCACGAACCACGACCACCCCAGACCCATTCCCTCGATAAACCCGAACCCCACGACCGCACCCGGGATTTTACACTTAGGGACGCCATGATTCGAAAGCTGAATGAGACTATCTCCCAAGCTAGCCAGCATCTTGCATACGATATCGGTCACAGGTAAGGGGATTCGGGCGGGGTGGTGGCGTGTCCGAGTGGGCGATTCGCTGGACTACAACGTAATTATGCCTGATGAAAGCGACTTTGGAATATGAGATCGGGTCTTTTTGCCCAGAGACAAAAGAAAAGAGAGAGATGAAAGACGGGGAGGGAAAAGAAGACCACGAGTCAGAATATCGTTCGGCCGACGGTTGCCCCGACGGTTGCCCCGAACGAATTCTCGGGCGGTTCTCCATCATTGCTTCTTCCCCGGACTATTATCCTGTCCTACGAAGGACAATGTCGTCTTCCTGACGCTTTCTCTTTCCCCAGACTCTCCAGATTTTCCCCTCCTAGCCGCTTGTTTCCCCGAATCTTGGCTCACCATCCTCCCCCCCAACCGAAAAGAGAAATACCATCTTTTGCGCCCCTCGCTTTGGACCCAAAACTCCGAGACGACCAAGACCGGGGAAACGCGATCTCCTTCGTAGTCCGGGGCCCCGGGCTTCGGGGGGATCGCTCTTGCTTGAACCCCCTTTGAGATCTCCCCACCCCTCCCCCCAAAATCGGCTCTCCATGCACAGTGATTGCATCTACACGTACCCAACCAGACATCGAGCATTGTCTTATTGTTTGATGACCTCGTCCGCAAAGCCGGTATTGAGTTACAGTACATCTTCATGTCCTGTGCCCTGCATCAACCCATGCAACATCATGTACTGTAGCTCTTCGTCCCGACGTCACAGGTTTTTGGTTTCCTCTCTCTCTGACGCTCGCTCCCTACCTCTCTTTGTCTTTTACTTCTTTCGTTCTCTCTAATCATTCTATTATAGACTGTCTCTCCTCTTTTCTATACCATCCACTCACCTAGGCCCCTGGATCCACTTCGCTACTGTTCCCGGTCTTAAGTGGCGCTCTATGGCGCTGTTCCCCAGACAGCAACCACCCCATCCCATCAACCAAGAATGGGGCCCCAGGATTCGCATGGAGCCGCAAGGGGGGCCACAGGCATCACAGGGACCACAGGGACCACAGGGACCACAGAAAACCGCGAAACGGCATGGAAACCGCCGGACTGGGGCGCGTTCGCCCCATTCCCTTCCTTTGCCCCTCCTGTCAAGCATCGTCATCACCGCTTATACGGAACTGGGCAAAGCCTCCTCCCCATTCACAGACGTTGTATATGTATACGCCTCCACTACACCCTTGCCGTCGCCGTCTGCCTGCTTGAACCTATGTGGGTCGTGTCATCCGTCCGTCTTTCTCGTGTTCCCCAAGCTCCCATGAATCCATCGTTCTCGCCTCCGGTTCTCGTTCCACGTTTTTGTAATTTTCAACATCTTCAGCTCGTATCACCAGCTTTTCCCTCCTCCTGATCTGATTTCGTGTCTCCCTTTCCTTCATCGATCGTGCTCGTGGCTGTTGATTAAGCGTCGTCAACCCTCAAACTCTCCCGCCTGCTTATTTTCGCTCATGGGCTTACCCGCAACCCCTTATCTTGCTCGCTGACACCGAGTCCAGTCGTTCTCTCCCCTGGAATAGACAGACAATGGCCAAACAAACCGAAATCAAAGCCACCATCGAGGAAACACCCGACATCGCAAACCAGGAGAACGTCTCTCCTCGTAACCACCTCACCCGCCAGGGTTCCAGCAAGCAGCAAGTCCGTCACCGGGCCTCCGTGGCTTGTGCCGCATGCCGGGAGAGGAGAATCCGTTGCGTCGTCCCCAAGGGCGACAGAGAATGCACCCAGTGCAAACGAACTGCCACTGAGTGTATCATCAAGAACGACGATGAGCGTCGCCGGTATGTCTTCCGTCTTTCTAGTCTTCATCTCGATGTTGACCATAGTCCAGCCCCATCTCCAAAGCCTACATGTCCTCTCTCTCTGAACGCATTGCTCTCCTTGAGGGTATGCTGGCAGAACAAGGTGTCCAGCCGCCACCCGCCGTTCACCCCCCAAAAACCAGACACGAGTCGCACCCGGCGACCTCCGAGATGCAGCCCAAACAATCAGATCCATCCCAAACCAATGCCTCCTCCGCACAATCAGGAACCAGAAACGCCACCCCGTCCAAGGTCGAAGTCCCCTCCCCGCCCGATTCCGGCAACGAGGACTTCGCCATGCAGGACAGCGATCACGCCGACAGCGCCACCCTGACCAACAGCCAGCTGCTGCTGCAGCCCATGACGAAGGAGACGTCTCCCTTCCGGATGCTGGACCCGAAGCAGGAGGACATTGTCCACCGGTTGCTCTCCACCAAGGGCAACCTGTCCTTCGACCAGCTGTCGGGCCGGTTGCGCTTCTTCGGACCCACGGCCAACAGCCATGTCTACGCCGAATCCCCGGACCAGTTCGACTCGCGGGAGCCGCCCGAGCAGGTCCGCCGCGCCGAGCGTATCATCCGCTCTCTCTCCGCTACCACCCACGACTACCTCATGAGCAACTTCTGGGTGTATTACAACTCGGTCCTCAACATTGTTCACCAGGAAGCCTTCCAGGCCGACCGGGAGAGTCAGAACCCCCGATTCTATTCGTCGTTCCTCCACATTGCCATCCTGGCCATGGGGTACCGGTTCTCCGACTACCAGCGGGAGGATATGAAGAGGATCACCTTGGGGGATCGCGAGAGCACCCTGCACCGGGAAGCCAAGTACATGCTGGACATTGAGCTCGAACGGCCTGGTGGTATCCCTAGCGTCCAGGCCTTGTTGCTCCTGGGGGACCTGGAATGCGGCGTGGGAAGGGATAACACCGGCTGGATGTATGCGGGTAAGTCAAAAAACCAACGTGGTCTTTCGTCCCCCCCCGTCCTACCTTCCACTAACATGCAGCCTTAAGGAATGGCGAACCGGCTCGCGTTCGACATTGGCCTTCATCTCGACTGTCGAAACAATGGCATCAGCGATCTCGAGGTAGACATTCGCCACATGACGATGCGGGCCTGCGTGATATACGACAAGTACTGGGCCCTATTCCTGGGCCGGCCCACCAGTATCAAGAACCAGGACATCGGGATGGATCTCCTGTCCAAGCATTTCTCGCAACTCTCGTCGATGATGGAAGCCAACAGCCAGCAGCCGTCGGACAGGAAATCGATCGGCGTCGAAATCTACGAACAGCTCATCGAGCTGATGGAGCTGGCCGGTCGGATCGTCGAGACGAGGGAGAACAACCGGGTGTCTCCCGGCAGGGCCCTTGACCATGGCCAGTTGTTCAGCTCCAACGCCAACGACGGCGAGGACAACGCTTACCTGCACGTCATCAACCTGGACCTCCAGCTCCAGAACTGGTACCGTCGGCTTCCGGAGCACCTGCAATGGAAACCCGCCAACATCAAGACGGCTCCTTACAGCTTCTTCCTCCTCCACCAGCAATATCACGTCTCCATGATCCTCCTGCACCGGCCCTGGGCCAATTACGGTTCCATAACCGGCGACGGCACCAGCACGGGGGGCCATCCCTCCCCGGTGTCGGGGGTGCCTGAGCCGACGAAGGACATGGCGAGCGACCACAGCCACCAACACCCTTTCTCCCCGGCGATGCACAACCACGCGCTCGGGATGGGCGACCCCTACTCCATGGTCGACGACAGCCGCACGTCCCTCTCGCGCAGCATCTGCACGCAGCAGGCCATCCGCGTGGCGCGCATCTTCTGGCAACACCGACAGCGGTTCGACGGCACCAAGATCTTTGTCACGGGGATCCAGCACGCCGGCACGGCCGCCATCGCCCTCATCGCCGCGCTGGCCTACATCCAGTCCGAGTCGGACCGGCGCACCTACCTGGGCTACCTCGAGATCCTCGCCAGCGCCATCGGCGACATGAGCCACACCTACCACCCGGCCGCCCGCATGGACGACCTCCTCAAGGCCGTCCTGGCCCAGCTGCGCGCCGACATCAACGACCCCACCGGCGCCCACCGCGCCGCCGTCCCGCCCCACGTCCTCACGGGCAGCGACCGCTCCCTCCTCTCCGATTCGGGCTGGCGCGGCAGCTTGGACAACATCTACTCCATCCTGCCCGTGCGGCGCGACTCGTCCAGCATGGCTGGCGGCGAGTCGGAGACGGAACGCACCAGCGGCGGCGGCGGCGGCGGCGCCGGTCCGTCCAACAAGCGGCGACGGGCGGCCACGAGCCGTCGCGCCAGCGAGTTCACGCGTCCGCCGCCAACATTCTTCCCGCCCCACCAGACCCCGCCTAAGAGCAGCCATAGCCAGGGCCAGCACTCGTCCTTCGGGGCGCACCCTCACGCTCCGCACGTCGACCCTGCGCTGTACGGTCTCGGGAGCGGCGGCGGCGGCGGGGGGGCGGACGGACATGAGCACCAGCAGCAGCAGCAGCATGACCACCACCAAAACCAGGGTTTCAGCTTGGATTTCCTGAACGGGAGCGCCATTGAGGCGGACCTGGACGATGGCGTCGAAGGGCTTACGCGGCCGGCGGACGATTTCGTCCTCGTGGGGAGCGCGAGTGATGGTGTCTGGGGGGGACCCTCTATGCGGCCCGGTGGTGACCCGGGGGATAACAACAACGGTAATGGGAACGGGAACGGGAACGGGAATGGCAATGGCTATGACATGCCCCTTTCGGAGTGGATGTCTGGACCGGGGGGGTTGAGTGTGGGGTCTATCCTTAGCGGACAGGGCATGGTCTCCGGCGGACCGAACGGGATGTACGGTGGTGGCGGTGCTGGCGCTAACGGTACCAGCGGTGCCAATGGCAATGGCAACGTCAACGGCCACGCGCGGACCGATAGCGGCATGGGACCCCAAGGTGGAAGCGGCGCGGCGGATGAAGGCAAAGACGATGCGTCCAAGACGAATGCTACTACGACATCGGCAAACACTGCCGCTGCTGCCGCTGCTGCCAGCAATGGCAACGCCAACGGGGGCAGTGCGATGGACTGGATGAGCGGCGAAGGAGGGATGAACACTCTCAGCCCCGTGAGCTTGGGCGGGCTGGTGCAGAGTGCCGTTGGGGACAGCAATGGGCCTGGCGGCTCTGCCGGCGGGAACGGGAAGGGACAGGCTGGTCCGAATGGGGAGCGAGGAGGCCCTGGTGGCGTGGAGCAGCTCGAGAACGGGGGTTCAGGGGCGCCTCGGAACCACGAATTGGATTTCTTCAGTTTCTGACCTCGGGGAGGATAGCATCTCGACGTCCTTTTTGCGTCTCCTTTTCTTTCTTTTTTTCCTTTCCCCGGATGGAGCGTTCATTATTCATCGGCACGAGGATTCATGGGCTGGAAATTTCAACGTACAGGTGTTAGGCTCGGGGACATGGGAGGAATTATATGTAGTTGGACTATTCTGTATCATGACCAGGGAGGGAGGTCATCTGGATGAGAATCAAGGGTCGGGGGGCAACCCCAGAGTTTGCATTTTAAGGGGCAATGAGTAGTAAATATGCATCATGTAGCCAGAATTGGGTATCGATTAATATCTCTCTCTCTCCCCCTCTCCCCCTCTATTGAATGGTGTAGCCTCCGTCGGCGACGAGAGCAGCACCCTGCATGAAGCTGCTCATTTCCGAGGCCATAAAGGTGATACAGTCGGCCACTTCCTCCATCTTCGCCATCCGCTGGAAGGGAGTCCGCTGAATGTCTCGGCCGAGAGGGGCGTCGGGAGCTTGGCTCATGGCGCTCAGTACCAGAGGCGTCTCGACGTAGCTGTGTTTTTTCCCGTGTCAGTTTTGTTTACATCCTCTCTCCAGTATCTCCTCCAAGAGTCAACGTATTCGGGGAATGGACGCACCCCGGGCAGATGGCGTTGATGCGAATATTCTTGGGGCCGTACGTGTTGGCATCTCCTCTCGTGAGGCCGAGGACGCCATGTTTAGCGGTGGCGTAGGCGGTATGGGAGTGGTAGTGACAAGGGGCGACGAGGCCGTACATGGAGGCGACGTTAATGATGCGACCGCGACCTTGGCGGGGACCTAGGTCTCTGTGTAGCAGACGCAGACTCGGGGTTAGAAAGAGGACAGAAAAAAGGAAAAGGAACGAGAGATAATGGACGTCAGCCAAATGGAAAGGCAGAAGCGCAATAACGTACTCCTGGTTAATCATGACTTTGAGCTCTTCATGTTGACAGCGCCATACACCGTGAAGATCAACGTCGACGACGCGGGCGAATTCAGCCTCGTCAATCTCATGCGTGGCACGACCGCTACCGCCGATTCCGGCATTGTTTACGGCAATGTCGAGACGGCCGAAGCGCTTGACGGTTTCGGCGACGCCGTCTCGGACCTGGTCGGCCTTCTGAACGTCTATAGGTAGCTCGAGGACCTGGACGGTCGGAAACTGTTGGCGGAGTTCGGCGACGGAGGCAGAGAGGGCGGTGGTGTTGATGTCGGATAGGGCGAGGTTCTTGATGCCGTGCCTGGCGAAGGCGAGGGATGTGTATTTTCCGATGCCTAGAATGAAGAGGAGGGTGAGCGAGGTGAGGTCTCGCCCGAGTATTGTCACAAGGAATTATAAGAAGCCGGAGCTGCGTACCTGAAGCGGCGCCGGTAATGAAGGCGGTGCCGCGGAGAAGAGTGGCCATGATAAGGTGTTAGTGAATATCAGAAAGACGTCTTTCTTGTTCTTCCGAGATCTAATATGAGATGCGCAGAGAGATCAATATTGGTGATACTTCTTTTGGCGCGAGGTTGAATAGTAGGTATTGAGAGGGAAGCCGGACTAAGTAAGACTATCGTACGAGATGCAAGTCGTACGAGGCTCAAGCTAAAAGTCCTCGGTGTAGACCTTCGGAGCAAGACGACGAGAATCAGACGACGAAGATGTAGAAAGACACGTAGAAGGGCATTCCATGTGAAAGATGAGAGTGTCCCACTGATCGTCGAGATGGGTTGCAGCTCCGTTCCTATAAGGCCTCACACAGTAGTAGGAAAACGGGACAACGGAATCCAGGATCGCAGTAAAATCCGGGGTGCATAATAAACGGCACTGATTGGCGGATCCAATGTCCGGGGGAGCGGAGGTGGCGTTGTCTAGCACGACAGTCGGACAATATTCCGGGATGCCCTCCACTCGCTGCGGAAGAGATGGAGAGACAAGAGGAAGAGGTTCCCCGTGTCTACTTCGTACTCCGGGCTCGGTCCCTCTCCGTACAACGTTACTCCATCCTGTGTCTAGGTAGGATTTCGAGTCTCCGATGAGCTGGAGAGAGCGGTGGGGACAATAGAGGGGTTGAAAGGGGACGGATGATCAGATGCCAATGTCAGGAACATCGTTTCCGGGCCCGGCCACTAAGGTAATAATTAGTACGAAGTAGTTGGAGAAGATGACCAACCTGCCTGGAAATAAGAGCCTGGCTGACTTTCCATCCCTTCTTACCATGCTCTGAATCTTCAACGTCCGAACTTGGCTCTTTTTTTGGCAACTTAACAGTGATCTGGGCGAGGGATTGTCGATACTTCAGCCCTGGACGTCTGTCTGTACTGACCTTAATTTTTTAGGTAGCTTATAGTACACTGTATCAGTGCATCGCGTCTCTGGCGAACCAGGCAGCGAGAGACGTGTGAAGATGTGGCATTGAGAGAGAGCTCTGGTGGTTTCGGGGCCTGATGAAGGTGGGGAGAGAAGAAGGTGGGGAGAATATTAATGGAGGGACGAAGGCAGCTTCGACTATGACTAATCAATACAGACGTTACGTCACTGGGTCTCGTGGACGGCATATGGAGCACGGAGAATGGGAGTTCCGTACTGGTACATACCTTATTAGCCATCCCTTCCGTACTTATTAGTAGCGGGTAGGTACAGATACATTGGATGGTAACGTCTTGATACCACCTCACGAGACACGATACCTACAACACGCTCTCACCGAAAACAACTCCAAACCACACCGTCACATCATCCCATCGTCCATCCCATCGTTCCATATCCACAGCTCCTCCTGTGCAGCGTCATCCCTCTAGACGTGGAAAATGATCTAACCCGTTATATCCCCCACCTTTGCCTGCTGAGCATCAACAACCCATTTTATACTCTCGCAACTGGACTGTGGCCCAGCATGTCTCTAATCTCCTACCCTTCTCGCGAGGGTCGCGAAATTGTGCTGTATGTCGGGCTCCTCGTCTCCCTCCTGTCGTCTCCCCAATCCCCCAGCTCTCATCTCAGTCCTTTGCTAACAAAGCTCTGCCTCTTCCCCTCTCCACAGTCGTCACCAGAATGCCATCGTCGTCCGCGACCCCGACTCCCAACGTCTCGAGATTCGCGGCCTCACCGAGTGTCCCACCTGCCACCAGGCCCTCCGTCCCCCGTCCCCAGACCGTCATGGCTTCGAATCCTCCTCGTCATCCTCCCGCCACGAGTATGTCGACCCCGACTACTTCCGTATGCTACGTGCCGGCCTTGTCCGTAGCAGCAGTAGCACCAGGCACGACGAACCCCCCTCCAGTCCTATCCTGCGCATGATCCGCCCAGGCTTGCCGCAACCTCATCCTCAGTCCGCTCGTGTCGAAGACGTCGAAGACATCGACTTCTTTCCATCCCCCTCTTCCGCCCAGGCCCCTGTCCACCAGGGCGGCCGCATCCGTCGCGAGGCCTTCAGTCCCAACTACTTCAATACTTTCTTTGTAGAAGAACGGGAACTGGGCCGCGGCGGGAAGGGCGTCGTCCTGCTGGTGCGCCACGAAATTGATGGCTGTCATCTTGGTAAGCCGGTGCCTTTCCGCAACGACTCGACACTAGGCTACTAGTCCCTTGCATCACCGTAGACAGGGCCTAGATCTCTCTTGAGGCTGACCTTCTCTTTCTTTGTCCCCCCGCCCATTCAGGCCACTTTGCATGTAAACGTGTTCCTGTCGGTGATGACCATGCCTGGCTGGAGAAAGGTGCGTTGTATCCCCTTCGCTTCTTCTCCTCGTTCTCGTCGTCCTGTGACACCTAACTCTCATTATTTCCCCACATCGATAGTTCTGGTCGAGGTCGAACTTCTTGCCAAGCTCTCCCACCCGAACCTCGTTTCATATCGCCACGTCTGGCTCGAAGACGTCCAGCTCAGTCGCTTCGGTCCCAGGGTGGCCTGCGCATTCATCCTTCAGCAATACTGCAACGGCGGCGACCTCCTCAACTACGTCGTCGGGGATCGGCCCAAGGAGACCACCAAGGAAGACCTCAAGGAGCAGATGCGCAGGAGGTCGAGGGGACAAGCCGAGCAGCCCAGCGTCGCTTCCCTGCGCCATCTCTCCTTCGAGGAGATTTACTCCCTGTTCCGCGACGTCACCAGCGGCCTGGCCTACTTGCACGCCGCCAACTACATTCACCGTGACCTCAAGCCCAGCAACTGCCTTCTCCACCGAGAAGGCACCAAGCTCACATGCCTCATCAGCGACTTTGGAGAAGTCCAGGCCGAGAACGTCGTGCGCAAATCCACCGGCACCACCGGGACCATATCCTACTGCGCGCCTGAAGTCCTCAAGATGGATGCCTCGGGTCGCTACGGCAACTTCACCACTAAATCCGACATCTTCTCCCTCGGCATGATCCTCTACTTCCTGTGCTTCAGCCGGCTGCCGTACCAGAGCGCCAATGCCGTCCACGAAGAACTGGAGGACGTCGATGAGCTGCGTGCCGAGATCACCGACTGGAAAGGCTTCAAGGACGAGCGGAGGGAACGTTCCGACCTACCGTCCAAGCTCTACCAGTTGCTCAGACGCCTGCTCGCCCTCGATCCGGCCCACCGACCTAGCGCCAATGAAGTATTGGCTGCCATGAAGTCCGAGTCGTATCCCGAGGGCGTGCCCTTGACCGCCCGGAGTTCCAGCCCTTCCATCGGCCTGCAGGGGCGTCGTGTACAGAACCTCGATTCACCCGGACCACCCGGCACCCCGGTTCCAGGTTCGTAGGCCCCATGTCTTTTTTTTCCCTTAACTCATCGTTTAGAATACATACACCATTGGGCGATCTTACGTTGCGTGACTGATGGTGTAAAGCAGACCCGCCGAAGCAGCAGCAGAGGTATGATCGATCCGGCCGCAGTGACCGTGCCATGCCGTCCATAGAGCCGCATGGCGCCGATGCCAGCGGTGTCGTCGGCCCGCCGGTCATACAGAATGGCCTGCGACGCACCCACGATGGGAGCCCGTCACGGCGCCCGGCCCGGCCCTTGGTAGCTTCTGGCGGCAACGCGGACCACTTCCACGAGTCGTCACCGCTGGACGGGCCCGTCCATAGGACACCGTCGCCCGAACGGACCCTCGCACCAGCAGCCCCTCCACTGCTCATGCCCCCTCCCACCACGTGGACCGGCCACGTCCGCCACAGGGTATGGCTCGGATGGTACCAGCTCGCTCACCTGGTCGGTCTCGGCGACGTGTCCTTGGCCGTCTCCGTACCGTTTCTCCTGCGTCTCGGCATCTTCTTGGGCAAGATGCTCACACTGCTTCGTCCGTGTTGGCCGTACGTCGTCAACCCCTGGCTCGGCGCCCTACTAGTGCTCGTCGCCGGGCTGGACCTCGGAACGGCATCTACCACCACGGTGCACCCGCGGGCTCCGTGGGAGGGCGGACCACGAAGCAGCAGCCCCGTGCTTGGGGCGCGTGATGTCCGAGCCAGTGCTCTCCTCGTCTCGGTGCATTTCGTGATTTTGTGGATGGCCAGGCGGTGGGGACCGTTATGTGCCGCGCCGAATTCGGCAGACGGCGGTATGTACACTTGATCTTGACGCCCTGCAGCCACTGTTCGCGTGGGTTACAACTGTGGGTTAAGAGCTTTCCCGGCCACGGTTTTCGTACATTCTCGATGTTTCCTTCTCTATTTTCTTCTTCTCTTCTTCTTCCTCTTCAAATTCGGGCCTTCGAACACTTTGAAGGGTAACAGAGAAAACGCTGTCGGTATCGTGACACCGAGCAGAGTGATCAAACGACGCTTGCCGAGGAGAGACAAGTACTCAGAAGCAACATGGCTCCTAATGCCAGCGCTGTGGTGTGAGCCGTCAGTTTTACTTTAACCGTCGCAGTGGTATGGTATCCTACGGTTGTATTTGAATTGCGATATCTCTTACGCATTGTTAACCCCAGGGTCTGTCTATATTATGCCTTGGTTCTACTGTCTCCTTCCGGCGCAGTGGTATACAAAAGCAGCGCTTCATATCCCGGAGGGCCATAGGCGATAGCAACGACAATACTGGAATTTGTGCGTCTTGTTGCTTCATGCCGTGACTGGACACTTTTCACAAAGACGGGTGAAGCGCCGCGGCCTTCATGACCGCTGGCAGCCAAGTAAACCTCATATACCACTGAAAATGAAAATTAGATATCCCCATTGAAATCGCAACTCCCAACGCCGACTATCTGCGCTAGCCTTCATGATTACTGTGTATGTTCCTTGGGCGTCCTGCTCGTCCAGGGTCGTTACTCGTCATAATCGAACATGCTTCCGTGTCGCTCCGTCTATCGATTTATTATTTCGTATTCGCTTTCTTAGGTCGGCAGGAAATGAAGTGAGTCGCGGTCTTGCTCCTCAAACGACTGGGGGAAGGCGGCGATGCCAGCGACGATGGCGGCAGCCATGAAACAGAGGCTGATGATGATCCAGATGACGCCCCAGCAGGCGGAGGAGCCCCCGTAGCGACGGGCGAAGACGCTTGCGTCGGACGAGTGGACTTTGCGGATGATGAGGTCGTCGCAGATGTCCCAGGCGGAGTAGAGAGAGGACATGACGCCGATGAAGAGCTGTTTCTGTTAGTACGCAAAAAAAAAAAAAAGGAGAAAAAAAAAGAAATGGGCAACATACAATGAGGAAACGCAGAGCATGGGCATGGGCAATGAACCAAAAACCAACAAGAAGCCCAACGGCGAGCAAGATGGTGACGATGGTCAGCCAATCCCGCTTCCCCCACCACAGGGTCAGGAGGAAGCAAACGCCGAGCACCATGCTGGCGACCTTGGAGGCGTTGACGTGGAAACCACAAAAGATGAGCAGGGCGCCGATGAGGGAGGAGCCGAGGTAGCCGGCGGGCAGGGTGATGGCGTTGCGGCCGCCGATCATGCGGGTCTCGCCGCCCTCGCGCGGGTCGAGGGTGATGCCGACGACCTTGCCGCCGGTGCAGACGGCGGCGAAGGCGTGGCCGAACTCGTGGAAGGCGATGACGAGCATCTTGAAGGGCCACAGGACGTAGCTCACAACGGGGATGTTCCAGAGGATGGCGATGGCGACGATGTAGGCGGCGATGACGGCGAGGGTGACGCGCTGGGTGTGGTTCGTGGTTAGGTCGCGGCGGGTGTGGGCGTTGTAGTGGGGGTGCTGGTGGGCTTCATCAGCTGGCGGCTGGGAGGCGGTCCCTTCGGCCGTTGGGAAGGCGGCGGCTTCGGATGTGATGGCGGCGATGGCGAGGGCTGCTAGGGCGGATTTGGAGAGGAGGTCCCGGGCAAGCTGGACGGCGGCGGGTGCGAATCCTGGGGGGGCGTCTGCCGCGGCGACCCCATTCATTGGGGCCATGATTGTTGAGGGAGAGGGAGAGGGAGGGAGAGAGCGACGGGTAGAAAGGGGAGGGTTAAGCTCTTGTCTATCAGGGCTTGGGATCGCTAAAAGAATGGTGATAATAGTATTAAAAAGAGGGGTGATGGTGATGAGCTCCTTGGGCGAAAAGCGACGGTGGAATTTTGGTGGAATGGTTTGTTTGTCGAGGATGCCAAGAGTCGCAAAGTGAGAGGTGAGAGATGGCGCAGAACAATAGAACTGTGAGGGAGAGAAAATATAGGGGGGAAAGAGGGATGGAAGGGAGTCCGGCCACAGATTCGCTACATGGACTGAGAAGGGAAGTGTCTCAAAAGCTTGTGACTGCCTGCCTTGGAAGAATGTTTATTTAATTAAGAAGTTACGACCGCTGACCGGACCACGACCCAACTAACCCAACGACCTGACCCACGACGCGTGTACAGTGCTAAGCCTTGATCGCGTAAACAGGAAACGGCGGCTAAGAGGCTGTTTAGGCTGGGTAACGAAGACGGTTACGTAAGGTAGAGGGGAACTATTGGTGTGTGTGTGTTACGGATATTTACCCCTGAAAGTGAAAGTCTGGCGAGGTTGTGGCGGTGCTGATCACTAAAGTCTCCCCTGAGGCTGGAGATACATTGCTGACTAAGTAGTTGTTGAGTTGGGCAAATCATCATCATTACTCATCCATTCCTCCTTCCCTTCCTCTTGCTCAGTCCTGTCCTCCCCCAATCTATTCCATCGACACATCCCAACACAAACGAGCGATCAGCCTCCGAGAGGTGATACCACCTCCCTCTTTGTTTGCCATCGACCTTCTCAGCTAGGCAGGTGGCATGTTTCCTCTTTTGTTCCAAAATCCCAATTCATTTCCTACTTAATTTACATCCCTTTGCCCTATTCGTACCTCAACCTTGGGCCACCACCACCACCAGTCGATCGACCCAAGGTACGGGTACGTAAGGTAAGGGTGTTCACCTTGGCCAAGCGAGCCCATCAGAGAGAGCTATGGCTGCACGTAGCCGACAAGAGGACGAGCAGAGGACGAGCAGAGCTACCGATACGCGTGCTATTTTCGTTTCGTCCTATCGCTGCCACACTGATCGCAAGTGCCGGTCGAAGTAGCATCGGCCACTGATCCCCGCCATATCGCCATCGCCCATCCATCGCCCATCCCACGATCACCCAGGATTGGCTCCGTATGACGACGCATTACTCCGTATTCGTACACCAAGTTTAGGACATGGTCAGCTTCCACTCAGAGACGCTTGAGCTACGAAGGATACCTTGGGGAATATCCATCAGCCGTGTCCTCCTGCACTATTGACCGTCTTCCTTCGCACGGCGCGAAGCCCGACGCCCTCGGCCTTATTTCACCCATCCCCATATAACCCATCCTCTTGTCCCTCCTCCGGACCTTCCCTTTTATTAAGGTAGCTACGGGAACTAACCTAACTTTGACTTCCATCGGTTTTCTTGTCTATGACCTACCAAGTATGGTAGGTAGTTATCATGAGCTCATCAAAGCGACAACCAACCACTTCCCACCACTCAAGCACACACCACTTGTGTAAACCACTTTGTGTTCCCTAGTTCGCGTTCTACGTCCTCGTCTATCCATCCATCACCATCATCATTTCCTCTTTTTTTTTCTTTTTTTTTTCTTCCCTTTCCTTTCCCCGGCTTTCCCTACCTTTTCCCCCCTTACGGTTTAAAAGCCAAATTTCCTGTTCCGGCTGCCCGCTGTAGCATTCGGCATCTGTCAAGGCGCCACCAAAGACTCCAAACCCCCGGACCCCAGACACCAAGACCGACCCAAGATTCAAGTCAAGTCACGTCTTCGGATCATCGGCCGATCAACATCCGCGCCGACTTCGGGGTTCCATCCATAGCGTTGAAAGAATCGAGGCAACGGCATCCAAGCCACCGCCCGTTTATTTATATATATATATAATTTTTTTCTTTTCTCTTTTCTATTATTATTTTCTCTCTCCCCTCCGCTTCCCCTCCGATCCCCAGCGTCATAGAACCAACTTTCCACAACTCACCGTCACTTTTCCTTCCTTTCTGCTTGACCTTGGACCCAAAACGCCCTACTTCATCTGCCACCTCGACCATGAGTAACTCCCCTGACGGTTCCCCCGAGGAGCCAGTACCAGTGTCATCATACGATCCTCACAATGTTCGTGTTGATGCTACTGCACTAGAACCAGGTGAGCTCCCCTCCCTCCCCTTCCCTCCTTTGCCTCCTCACTTCTCGTCATCAAATCCAGCAGTACACATTCGCTAACCAACTACCGCGTTCTGCAATCTAGAAACTGTCTCTCGCTCCGATGTTCCCTCCGAACGGCCCAGGTGCCCCATCCTCTCCCTTCCGATCGAATTACTCGATGCAATCCTCTCCTACCTTCACCCCATCGACCTCGCCGCCGTTTCTCAGACATGTCGTGCTATCCGCTCCCGTGCCATAGCCGACATCCACTGGCTGCCCCATGTCCAAGCCAATATCCCAGGCTTGACCCTCGCCTCGCCTTACCCCTGCGACAACTACCGAGACCTCTACGCCGCCCATGACCCGCGATGGTTTCTCCCCAAGTACAAGATTTGGTTCTGCGACCGCCACCTCATGGGCAAGATGATCGTCGTCCGCTACGACCCTCGCCGTGGCTGCATCGAAGGATACCAGTTGCTCGCCGTGAGCAGCCTCACGAACCCGCAGCACTGGGCCGCCGACGACCAGGTCATCATCCACTCCTTCGAGCCCCGCGTGAAGCTCCATCTCGACAAACCCGTCGTCCAGTTCCACGTCGGTGACCGGGATCGCTCCTACGTCCCCGTGTCCGGCCCCACCGCCGGCTGTCGCTTCGCCTCCGAGTTGCCCATGACCCTGGACAACCGCCCGGACCACATTTTCAGCAACTTCTCCCTGGCCCGCCCGCTGCACCCCGTCACCGTCGACTTCCGCTTGGACTCTGACTTCCCTTACGGAGACGTCTGGCCCCCGCCCGCCATCCCCTCCCCGCAGCGCGTATCCGGTTTCGCCTCGGCCAGCGACCTCGACTACGTCGTCGACGACGACCGCCCCAGGGCCAGGGCCGAGATGTCCGATCGTGCGTTTCGCATCCGCCAGTGGATGGAGATGGCCGGCCCCCCGGGCACCCCCAGCGTCATGCTCGGTCCCGGGCTCGCGCGCGTCCTGCACGTCGTGGCCGGATTCGTACCCATCAACGCCATCGGCGGCGGCGCCCCACCCCCCGTCCACGGCCTGGCCGGACCCCACATCGGCGAGGAGATCATCACCTACGCCACTCTCGACCCGAAGCTGTACACCCCCACCGAGCTCAAGCCCTGGCGCGGTATCTGGGTCGGCGACTATAGCGGCCACGGGTGCGAGTTCCTGCTCGTCCACCAACCCGACACCGAGGACGACAACGCCACCGACGAGAAGCTCGGCGTCATACGCGTTGAGCACGAGTCTGACGATGACTGGGAGAAGCGGAGGAAAGAGGCCAGGATATACCGGGGGCGCCTCGAGGCTGTCAAGTTGACGGGAGACCCCAACGTGCCCCGCGGCGAGCACACCTTCATCGTCGACGACCTCGGCGAGGCAGGCCTCGTCGGCATTGCCCAGGATCCGCCGTTCGAGGGCGCTCGGATCATGAAAAGCAAAGGCCATGTCGCGGGGACGGGCTTTTATAACGGTAGGCCTTTTTTTTTTTTTTTCCTCTCTTCTTTCCCTTGCTTTTCTTGCTTCCGGTTCTACGCTAACACCCAGACAAAAGACAAATTCATCGACTCGCAGTTGTTGCTCCTGTCGTACGACAAGTTGGCGCAGTATTGGGTGAGTTTTGGTCACATCAGTTATTTCCAGCGAGTGGACCTGGATAGCTTTCTCGTGCCTTGACGGTAAGGAGTCGACTACTCTTTGCTGCCATACCCTTCGGATGCAGCTCCATCCAATGCAAAGCAAAATGATAAGAGGCGGGGAATGCCACCCTCGTATGATGGAGCGCCATGCAATGTCGACAACACGGCCGACTACACTGCAGGCGAACGTCCTAGCCAACCTCTCACATTGATTATGAAGAAAACTACTTCCGAGCCAACACGCAGTGATGTAAAAGGCCGATCCCTGTTTTTGCCTGGTTGGTCTACAAGGCAGACTTGTATGTCCACTGAGAGGTGACTTGCTAAGCTGAACTTGAGGATAAGGGGTACGCGTGTGTTTTCAATGTAGCTATTAACGAACCGTCTCTATAGCGACAAAACGCGCTAAGGAAGCTATACGATAATAATAGTAGGAGGAGGGCGAGGAGGACGAGGAGGACGAGGAGAGGAGAACGGGGACGAGAAGAACGGGGACGAGAAGAAATCAGGTGCTCCAGGAGTTAAAGCCCGAAGCTTAGCAGGTTAGCCGTGATGTGCAGTCTTCAGACGGCGCATCATTTGGGCCCCGGTTCAGCTTGTCCCCTCTTGTGCACATGGATAGCAAGCACGGGCAGACTTTCGGCGCCGCCTTTTGGGCTTTTCGGAGATGTTCGGCTTTATATACCCTGACGAATAAATCGTGTTCTTCCGACAGAGGCGCTGACTTTGCCGGCAGCGCCTCGTTGTGGAAACAAAATGGGCAGATAGGCGGGGTGACAAATATGATGGCAACTCAGTCGGTGCCGCTTATGGCCCAGGGCCCGGGGGATATCTCTCTCTCGTCTCGACTCTCGCCCCCGGCGCCCCCTTTCCCTATTTTTAGGTTCTTCCGTCGTCTTCTCTTTTCCTTCTTATTTGTATCTTCCTTATCCTGGGCGACCACGAACTGAACGCGAATATTATTGGGTTCCTCCACTATAGCGAAACGCCCAAGAGCGGCGTTAACCAAAGAGCCACGCCGTCTCAACAGACCCTTCAAATCCGTGGAACGCGCCGTCGGGACCCATGACCGGACGGCCAGAGGTGGGGATGCGCACCTGGCGCAAGTCCTGTCCGGTCTCGGGATGCGTCCATACCTCCTCCAACTCGGAGACGACCCCGGCCTGCTCCGGACCCGAACCCGGTTCGCGCGAGACGGGGCGAATTTGACGACGCGCGAGGCGCACAAGGTCCCCCGTCTGCGACTCGATTCGCACCATCCAGTCGCCGTCTATATACGGTCCGACGCGACCGCTCTGGACGGCCTGACGCCTGTCGGCCGGTAATGGTGGGAACCTAAACGCTCGCTCCGGGTTGATGATTCGGCGCTGCGGTTCCTGGGGGTTGGGGAGGACCAGCGAACCGGAGTCGAGGCCCGGGGCAGGAGGAAAGGGAGTTGCCGGGTTGAGGGGCACCCTTGGGTGGACGAAAAAGCCGTCGCTAAAGCTGCTCAGGGGGCTGTGTGCGCCTTGTTGGGCAGGCTGCCGGCTGACGGGCTCGTTATCGTTGCCTGCCGCGGTTTTCTTGGGGCGGCCGCGACGCTTGGGGGCTGTTTGACGACCGCGAGGCCCTTTCGAGGGTCCGTTCTCGTCGTCTGCGGTTTTGACCCGCTTGGTACCGTGGTGCTCGACTTGGTTGAGCTCGCTGGGGACAGGATGCGGGGTCTGGTTATTATTAACTGGGTCATTTCCCCATTCTCCCTCGTCGTCTGTCTCGTGGGGGGCGTCCTCCTCGTCGTCGTCGCCGTTGTTGTTGTTGTTGTTGCCCTGAATATTCCCATAGGAGGAGGAAGTACCTCCCTGCTCGGTGTTGATGACACTCAGATCACCTTGCTGATCAGGGCTGAGCTGAAAGGGAGTAAAGCTTGACGAAGGGTTACCGGTGCTTGTCGGTACTGGTGTGCCGCTGTGGTAATCCAGCTGGTTCCCGAGATTCTCGAAACTGGCGCTGGTCCCGGCCAGGGAACTTCCGTGGTCACCCAGGAACGCGGACGGGGGCGGAGACGGGAACGAGCCGGGAGGAATGTGATATCCGTTGACGGCATTCGCGATGCTGTGGAAGAAATAGCCCGGTGGCGGCGACGACGTCACCTGCTGCTGTGGTTGAAACTGCCGGTGGGCATCGAACGGTCTGGCGTACTCCTGCTGGACGTAGCGCTGGAGGTCCAGAACCTGCTGATAGCTCTCCGGGGAAGTCTGTAGGGTATGGTCCGGTTGAGAAAATGGTTGCTGATTATGCTGCTGCTGGACCCGTTGTTGTTGTTGTTGTTGAAGAAGCTGGAGCTGCTGCTCTGCAATCTGTTGCTGGCGCCGAAGACGCTGTTGGTCATCTTGTAGTCGGGCGATGTATTGCCCAAGCTGATGTTCCTGCCGAGCATTCTGCTGCTGGTAGCTTTGCTGCTCGTTGGGCTGCTGATTATCCTGCCAGTTCATGGCAAAATTGGCATCATGGCTGGCATCGGCATCTAAAGGAAGCAAAGAAGTATTAGCTCCTTTCACTCGTATAGCGTCACAATGGATCTGGAAGCAAAGGGGGAAGGGTATACAAAGCTGGGAGGTGAAAGACTGGTTGTCAGAGCCAGGATGGCTGTTGGCTTGATCTGCGTCCATCGTGTTCATCCAAGCAAAGGCTCCAAAGGTTCCTTGGTCTTCTGGATCTTGCTCTTGTTGGATCAGTCTCCCTTCTTCTTTATTATCTCCTGCCCTTCGTTCAACTCTTCTGTCCTCTTCTTTGATTTCTCTCCTGGTGTCGGGAAGTCCAGATTCTTCGTGAACTTAACAGGGGAGAATTGGGAAGCATTGAAGCAAAAGATCAGCTCAAGGTACTGTTGTTCTATTCCACATCTTACCAGAAACACCAAACGAAAAGGAAAGAAGGAAGTGAAAAATATCAACTGCAGCCGGGGAGTGGATAAAGAAGGCATATCTTACCAGGTGCTCCCCGTTCCGAGCAGTGTATGGTGCGAGGCAGGCACTCATCCTACGAGTGCCTGCCTGGCCCTCCATCTCTTTGTCTGTTGTTTTGAATCCAACCGGGCTGTCCGTTTTGAGGTTGGCTTAAGGGGGAACCTCCCGTCCGGAGCACAGTGTATATGTTAGGCGGCATAAGGGGATTTCCATGGCCCGCTTCAGCGAGGACCCTCCAACAATCAATGTCACCTTGAGTCTGGAGTCGTCCATCCCACGTGAAACTGGAGGCTTGGGATACTGTATTGATCTGGTCGTGGCCATAACTTTCATTTTGCGAAGCCTCTGTGGAAAGGAAGCTTTGAAGGAAGGAGGGCTGACGATTAAGGAGAGAACTAGTTCATGTTTCGCCGTCATCATCCTCATATGTGAAGAGTCCCTTTGACATTAGTTCGTTCTCTGGCTCCCTTGCCATTTTAGATGTCGGATATGCGGATATGTCTGTTAAGTCCTAGCTCGGAGTATGGGTGTTGCATGCAATGGGAGAGGTATATTGAGCCAAAAGGGTACAGCATAGATTTAGTAGGGAGAAACAGATGGGAATTAGAAGAGAAAAAAGCCCATTGCTGAGATAAAGAGGGCTTCAAGTTTGAAAGCAGGGCTCAGTAATACGTCTTTTGTTCTTTACTTGTGTAAACCAGAGTGTTACTACGGTACTACCAATAGGTAAGTAAGTTGTAACTTACCTAGAGACTTGACGGGTTCTAAGAGTCTATGAGAAGACATCGACTCACAAATATAGCCCAGCTTTTGTACGAATACTCATACGGCCATAAATCAAGTCATTATTAGCTTGTATAGTATAGGATTCATAGGATATTATTCGTAGTAAATTCCAGAGACAATAAGAAACTAATAGAAACCATAATATGAGTATAGGTGACTAGACTATAGAGCCCGACTCGAAGAACCTTGACTCAATAGCGACATCGAGGCTTATATCAGCTACTGCATCATAATATAACATACCTTGTAAGAGATATTTTACCGAAAGTCAAATAGTGAATCAAACACCATTCTCCGCTCTAATCCTCCCAGCGTATTGGGCTTGAGATAACTTATGTCAGTTCACCGAGTTACCGAGTCACCGAGTTCACCGAGGCCGGAAAATGGTAAATCCACTAACCCCACCTACCCGTCTGAGAAAGGAGATGGTAGGTAATTGGTTCAGCCAAGGTCAACTTTGACTACATGCCAACTTCCCCACCATCAAGTATAACTTAGCCTGCGAGTTGGACTACGGACCTGCACTGCAGTCTTGCAACGGACTGCTCCACTATGTTCCGCGCCAAGGTCCAAAGCTGCATGATCGGACGTCTCTCCCACCTCCTGGAAGAATTGCGATAGTTTGGTAGATGTGGCCCTCTCAGGTGTCTGATCAGTGTTTCTTACATGGCAGTTTGCTGCGACCTGATTGAATCATCTAACCTTCCCTAGAGACCTACTTGGCCAGTTTGCATTGTTTGCGTCTTTATGACTTCGTCGTCTCGTATCGTCCAAAAAAGAAAACCTACGTTGTAGAATGGACCTCGGACTCAAGAACGCCATGTTAGATACGTGAAATTATCTGATAGGTCAATTAGTAGACTCTTAGAGTAGGCGCAGGGAGTTGCCTGTAGGCGTAGACTGAACAGAAAACGGTAGGAAGGCGCACCACTACCTGGTACTCTTCCTTCCTGGAAAGCGCGTCAGGTGGCGTAGCGGCGTAACCTTAGGACGTACTTACCTGCCCTGTTAAGTCAAGAGCCTTATAGACCCCGGTAACTCTTCCCCTTTCACCACCCAGGTTCCCGTCCTCCGCTGAGGTGGGATGGTCCAGTGGTAGAGGCTCGACTTATATAAACAAATACCCGAGATGGCATACCAGTAGATCCTGAAGGGCGCGCACTAATAAGGTGGGCGTGAAGGACGGGCGCGGTTCGAACCGTGCCTAAACTAAAGCCTTTTGCTATTCGTACCTTTTTTTCTTTCTTTCTTCCTATATGTTACTGGCCCTGCCCTTCAGGTATATGCATAGAGGGACTATGAGTTGAGCCGGTTTGACTCTAGCAGATACGTCTTATTTTATAGACTATTTTGGGGCGCAGGAAAGGAGAAAGACGTTCAGATCCGTCTTGATAAGGCTGTTTTATGATTATGACGGATGACAAGAACGAAGAAATATTTGCCGTCTTGACAGTAATACAACGGACCAATTTGACAATTGATGATGTCCCTCTTGATCGAGCCTCCAAGCAAAACACGAATAACAAAAGCCAGAACATCTCTGGCTCATAGGTTTATCCCCATGCTCTATATTATCCATATAGACGACGATCATTAATGCCAGATATACATGTTTCCCAGCTCTAGCCAAAGGAATGCGGCGGACATATTAGAAACAATCAGTCTTTCCACCTTACCGCTGAGATGTCACGATAAAAGCCCAACCGTTAGAGCGGAGAAGGCGTCGTCACAAGGCCTAACACTCATCCAAACAATAAACACCGATATCTAGTCACCGGGGAAGAGACACTGCACGAATGTCGAGATACGACGGGGCAAAACAAAGACGGTCAAATAGTTCCATTGATGTTATAGGGTATCATAATTCATCGGCATTGGCCTCGCAGTCATCATGACTTCTCACGACTTCCGTCGCCTCTTTGCACTCCGACCCTTCTCGCCGCCTATTGTCTCGCTCACTGACGCCACCGACGTCCTCAAGCTGGTAGCTTTGCTCGCGGCACCGTCGCTCTCGTCTCCATCACCACTGGCATCCGATTCTGCGTCACTCGAGGAGCCGTCCAGCAAGGCGTCCTCTTCCTTTTCGCCATGCGCCTCCTCATCACCAGAGGCAAATCCTTCAAATTCGTCCTCGTCCTCCTCACCGGCCCCCACTTCGGAGACGGCGACCGAAGACGGACCCATGGACGTATCCGGCATGCTGCTGGCATCATCCACCTTCCTCTTCCTGGGCATCTCGCCCAACCGGCCACTGCGTCCCTCCATGTCCTTGTCGTTTTCCCCCGTCTCGTCGACCGGCGAGGGCGTAAACCACGGGATCTTGCCGCGCATAAAGTCGTTCAGGACCATCTTCGCGACACCGTCCACGTCAGGCTCTCCCTTCCGGAGGAGACGGCCGCCCTTCCTCGCCAGGAGCTCCAGGAACTGGATGTGGTTGTCCCACCCCTTGAGCCCGTACGTCCTCTCCATGTGGTGCTTCTTCACCTTCTCCAGGACGCCGGGGATGTACTGCTCCGGGTGCTCGACGTTTTCCACCCGCACCACGCTGCGCAGCAGCAGGTCCTGGGGCGTGTCGTTCTGGTTGGGCGGCACGATGCCGGGGCAGTCGATCAGGTAGATCCGCTTGGTCAGGGTGATGTACTGCCACACCTTGGTCTCGCCGGGGATGGGCGCCACGTTGGCCACCTTCTTCTGGCGCAGCGTGTTGACGATGCTGCTCTTGCCCACGTTCGGGTAGCCGATGAGGCCGACCGAGATTTGCTTGCGGTCGCTGAGGAGCTTGGCGTATTGCCGGAGGAGTTCGATCAGACTTCCCTTGCCGAAGGGGTTGGTGATGCTGGAGTGCATCGCCAACGTGGGCCGCTCACGAGAGAGGTAGCGAACCCATCGCGCCTAACGTTTTGCTCGTTAGCTACGTCTCTTGCAACCGCATTTGAGTAGTTGCAATAGCGGAATTAAAAAAAAAAAAGAAGAAGAAAGAGAGAGATTGTGTAATGTTTGAAAAACATGTGCGCCCGGCTACTAAGAAGTACTACCACCAAATGTTGTAACGAGTACCGGTAGACTTCAACTCAATGCTAGGCATCTGCAATCTCGTGACAGAAGATCCAAAACGGAATCCATCGTGTCCATGGTCCAAGGACCAAGAACATTGAGATGAGCCTCTATCTCCCCAGGGTGTAACGGATATCCTTCCAATGCGGGCACAGGTTGTGCGGATGGATTCCTGACTTGACCACTGGGGGTAAGGGTAGGGGTAGGAAAAGAAAATAAAAAGAAAAAAAGAAAAAAAAGGAAAAAAGGAAGAGAAACAAAATGGAGAACTTACAGCGACGCTAGTTGGTACCAGATCTGTCTTGTTGAGGACAAAGATGAGGTGCTTATGGGGAGCTTCTTCCCTCAGGTACTTCTCGACACTGCGACAGCGGGTACCGAGAGGGTCCCTCGCATCGAGGACATGGATGACCACATCAGAAGAGTCCAGCACCCGGTACAGCTCGTTCCAGATACGCTTGCTCTGTCCCTTGTTGAAGATGGGCTCAATAGCCGTGGTGAGAGGGGGCGCCTCCTCGCCCTCCTCATTGTCGTCGTCATAACCAGCGCCGGACGTGCCGCTGAGAAGCTTGGCCTGTTCGCGCCGCTCCTGGTAGCCATCCATGCTCTTCTCGACGTTCTCGGCCAGATCCGCCAAGGTGCTGGCGCCGAGCTTGACCCTCTTGCGCTGGGCCTTGGGCCCGAACGTCTCGGAGAACGGGGACGTCTCGATGGCCATCTTGGCCTGGTGCTTCTTGATCCCGTTGACGTTGGGTTTGTCACGGATCAGAGAGAGGGGGAGCTTGTTGGTCCGCAGCAGCACCTGGTAGGGGTCCGACGCCTTCTCTTCCATGGCCGTGCGGAACGCGTTGAGGCTGTCCTGCGAGATGACGCGGGTGTTGCCGAACCATTTACGGTTCGGCTCTATCCTTGCGACGGGGACATCGCGGCTCTGGAAGGAGGCGGCCTGGGTGATTTCTCCGTCGGCGTTTCGCTGTGGCTTGCCATCCTTTAGCATATTCAGGGCTTTCACTTTCTTCGCCGACCTGCGGGAGCGGACCAGTTAGTAAAGGTCTCAAACTCAAGGCTAGCCATTAACCATTGTATCAGTCTTGGTCCGTACCTGTAGAAGTTTTCACCCTTTGTCCTGACATTGGCCATCCCATCGTCAGTCTTGCCCTGCCGGACTTTCCGGTTCGCCTCCTTCTTTGCGGTACCCATGATGACTATATTTTCCGGCCAGTAAATGTATGAAATACAACTTGAGAAGAATGGCCAGCAAAGTCGTCAGGTGTTGGGAGAGCGAAAGGAACGGAGATTCAACCACGAAAGGTTGTACGTGTATGGGAGAATGAAAAGCGACAAGTGACCCAGGAACTTCACTTTTTCTTTTTTTTTTTCTTTTCTGTCGACCCTCCCAGCCATTTTTTCCTGGACAGTGGAGTTGTCGGAATGGAATAAGAAAATATCCGGGTTGTAAAGCCAATCATCGCGTCTGTACTATAAGCACCCCTTATTGGTGCTGCACCCCATACGCTTAGTCAGTTTCATTTTCGTCGCTTGTGAGCTTTCTTCTCTACCCACGCCAAGGTGTAGAATATCGCTCCACTTTCTTTCAGCTCGAGAATTTCTCAGCGACTGTTGAAGCCGAGAGCTACGACTTCGACTTTCTTCTTCCCGAGTCGTCGTCTTCTCAACGCCTCGATCAGACGACCGTCGTCACCCTCCGTAATTCTTCTCTCCTGGTCTACGGTGTCATTCTGCCATTGATTGGCACTATCACCGTCCAAAATGTCATCAAGATGCTCTTGCACAGCAGCATCTAAGCTGCCTACCCTGGCCGTCGCCCGAGCCCAGCCATCACCCATCGGTTTCTTCCCCCGACCTTTCTCAACCACGGCCACAGTTCATACGCGACCATCTCGATTCTCCTCTTCGCCGTCCTCGTCATCATCATCATCATCTTCTTCGTCCTCCTCCTCCTCCTCCTCCTCCTCCATCCCGATCGCCCAGAACCAATACCCGCCAGAATCCCCCCACTGGCTCCCCGTCCCCAAGGCCCGCCAATCCCAAGCCTCCGAGGTCAAACCCGCCCGCGTAAAGGGCGTCCTCCCCACGCCGCGCCCCATCTTCACCGACCGCCGCGAGGTCGACCGCCGCGTGCAACCAGGCTACCTGGCCAAGACCGCCCCCCTCCCGACCAGCGAGTCCGCCACGCGTCCCGTCCGCCCCGGCTCCGTCCTCGACGTGCGCCGCCGCCTCGCCGCCTCGCGCCGCGAGAACCTGGCCGCAGGTCTCCAAGGGCTCTGGCGCCGCCGCACCGAGCACCAGTCCCGCCTCCGCGCCGCCTCCGCCACCCGCAACGAAACCAACCGCCTCCGCGCCCTCGCCCCGGAACGCGAAGACGACCTCCTCACCCGCTCCTCCGTCCTCCTCCGCCCCACCGCCGAGCATACCGCCGTGCTGCCCGACCCGGACCGCTTCGACCGCGCCGCCGCCTCGCGCGCCCGCACCGCCGAGCTCGCCCGCCGCCGCGCCGAGGCCCGCCGCGACGCCCTCACCGCCCTGTACATGAGCGCCGGCGACTTCATCGTCGAGGAGGACCACCTGGCCGCCGAGATCGACCGTGTCTTCGCCCCGGACTACTTCACCAAGCAGGCCAAGTCCTACGCCACCGACGCCTCCAGCGCCTGGGATGTCTGGGGCGCCCCGCCTACCCTCTCCCGCCTCGTTGCCGCCAGCGCCCGCCCCGGCCAGGAGTTCGACTCGGTGGACCACGACCGGACCGTCAAGAGGCAGAAGACCATTGCTGAGGATCTCACTGGTGGCAAGATGGATTAAGGAGCGGGATCCGCGAATGGAACGGGGCTAGTTATTTCTTGAGAAGAACAAGGCGCCTTGGCTTTAAAACCCGATATTCTTTTTTGGCACCGCGTGGCGCATGGTCGTATGCTCCATATCCGGTCAACAACGACAATCAAATCGACAAACCGCCATACCCCTTCCGACTTTTGTATCATAGATATTCTGTAACTTATTTATATGTATGAAGCCTTCTAAGTATGGCTGGTTAAAAAAAAAAATCTTGTACTCCAGAACAAATATAAAACTTGAATCTGCCCCGATGAACTCCTACAACTCACATCAAATACTCCAATCATGATACGATATATCACGATATCACGGAGAAACTATATAAAGGGAAAGACGAAAAGTACAAAGAAAAAAAAAAGAAAAAAAAAGAAGAAGAAAGAAGAAGAGAAAAAAGAAAAGGAAACAGGCTGGCACTCTTCATCAAGTGGTGCCACCATCGTCTCCACAAAGCAAAGGGGACACAAATTACCTCCTCTCGACGAGTAGAATATGCATAGCCGCATACGCGAGGATGGTAAACACAATGCCAAAGACGCCCAGGTTGATCATGTCGGTATAGAGCGAACTATTACTGAAACCGAAAGAGCTGAGAATGGCAGCCCCCGGGACCGTAATGTCCAGCCCGTACTTCTTGTCGACCAGGGTGAGCTCGAGCACTTCGTTGACGATGAGCGACTCGAACCCGTAATGGAAGATGGACAGCGACTGCAGCCACAGAGCGGCCTGGGGGATGGCGTTGTGGTTGAGGAGGAGGCCGGCGAACAGCAGGCTGAAGAGCATGACCAGGCTGCCGATCAGGTTGGCCACGCCCCCGTCCTTGCACACGATGCCGATGAACAGGCAGATGGAGGCGGCGGCCAGGTTGAACAGGACCAGGACACCAAGGAACCGGAAGAAGTGGATGGCGTCGGGGACGAGGCCGGTCATCGGGTAGATGATGGCCCCCATCAGAAGAGGCGGGATGATGCGCAGCGGGATGATGTCGAAGAGGAGCTTGGCCGCAAAGTACGTGATGGGCGCGTAGTATCCGTTGGCCCGTTCGCGCACGAACAAGAGCCTCTCGGACGCGAAGACGTTCAGGCTCGTCAGGGTGCTGAAACCGAAGAGGGCGAGCAGGAAGAAGAAGAGACCGAGGCGGTTCTGGAAACCCGGGATGTCGTCGGTCAGCCCGTAGAAGAGATAGCCCGACAGGACGGCCAGCACGATGGCAATGGCGTAGTGCGTCAGCATCAGCATGGGGTTGCGGTACAGATTGCGGAACGTCCTCTGCGACAGGATGATGAACTGCCTCGTGTGGCTGACGCGGGCATACCCCCTGCCGACGGCGCCGCCCGTGTTGATGTTCGGACCTTCGGGGGAGTAACCGTTGGCGTTGGCGTTGTTCTGGCCGTTGGCGGCTTCGGCGGCGGCGACGGCCTGCTGGATCTCGTCGTAGGTGGACGTGGCGATGTCGGACTCGGCGAAGGCGCGCACGAGGATGTCGAGATCGGTGCCGGTGAGGGCGGCAGGCGGAAGGTCGTCAGGATCATCGGCGGAATAAGCGTGCGAAGGAGGCGCGGGCTGTCTCTGCAGCTGGAAGGCGGAGCCCGATTCGTCGGCACCGCCATCGGCACCGCCATCGGCATCGGACGAGGCGGCGGTGTCGATGGTTCTCCGACGGGTGTAGAGCTCCCTCTCCTGACGCCTGCGGACCGAGTCCTTGCGGTGGTGAGTGGGTCGCGAGGGCGAGACGACTGATTCGACGCCACTGTCCTCCTCCAGGCTTCCGGCCACCACGCTGGCGATGGACTTTACGGCGGTCGTGCTGCTGGGGCCGACACTGGCGACGTCGTCCGCCGCACCCAGGGTGCCGTCGTCTTCCGAAAAGGTAGCACCGGCATGCATGGTGAGATCCACGAGGTAGTCGGCAATGTTGAAACCCGGAGGACAGGGGTACCCGATGCGGTCGAAGTAGGTCTGGCACTGATGAAAGGGGCCGGAGAAGACGGCCTTGCCCTGGGCCAAGAGAATGAGCCGGTCGAACAGCGCGACGATGTTGGAGCGGGGCTGGTGGATGGTGAAGACGACAGTCCGCTTGTAGGTCCTGGCGAGGGTGACGAGACATTCGACGACGTTGAAGGCGTTGTAGGCGTCGAGGCCGCTCGTGGGTTCGTCCAGGAAGAGGATGGACGGGCTAGTGACCAGCTCGCAGGCGATACCGACGCGGCGCTTCTCGCCGCCCGAGATACCGCGGCCCTTGCCTTCCTCGGAACCGATCAGGGAATCGCGGATGTGGTGGATACCGAGCTGCCTCTCCACCTCGTGGACCCTCTGCTCCTTGGCAGCGCGTCCCATGTTGCGGGGAAGGCGCAGCAGAGCGCTGGTAAGAATGGTCTCGTGCACGGTCAGTGTGGGCAGCATGGTGTCCTCTTGGTCGACGAAGCCGATGACGTTCTTGTAGGCAGCGTCGTTGACCTTCTCGCCGTTGACGAGGAAGTCGCCCGAGACGTTGCCGCGCTTATTCTTGCGAGCGAGAATGTCAAGGAAGGTGGTCTTGCCGGCGCCGGACGCGCCCATGATAGCGGTGACTTCGCCGGGATGGGCGACGGCGTGGATGTTGGACAGGATGGTCTTCCCGTTGAGCTCGTAGGAGACGTTCTGGACGTAGAGGGTGGCGGGCTTGTGATCGGCCATGAGCTTGGTGCTCTCGTCGTCCGAGTCGTCCAGCGCGATGGGACCGTATCGGAAGGAGCGGCGAGAGAGGTACCAGGTGGTGAGAATGACGGCGACGACGAAGAGGGAGCAGGCGGCGATGACGCCGGCGATGAGGGGTGTGTTGATCTTCTTAACGGGACGTTCGTAGCCGGGGACCTCGGTGTGATAAAGACACTCGCCGGAGCGGCAGGAGAGCTGGATGCTGCTGTCGCCGATGAGGTCGAGAATGAGCTGGTCCATGGCGGGCTCCTCGAACTTGCAATTGTTGGTGCCTCCATTCTCCTGGAGACATTCGAAGGTGGCGGGGCCCGCGATATCTTGGTCCAAGAAATCGCTAATGTCGACAGAGCCGTTCTCGCCACAGAGCATGCGGTCGGGGATGCAGCTGCACTCGATCTTCTGGCACTGGTAATTGGTACTGTTCCGAGTGGGATCGATGATGGCCTTGGAGTCGCAGTCGGTCAGGTGGCAATAGAAGGACTCGCGTTGGTCGACCCAGACTACATTTTTTTCGGGTTTTTTTTTTCGTCAGTTATAGAAGCAAGTGAGCTGTAGAAGATGAATAGGGACAGGGACGGACGGATGTACATTGAAAGTCGCATTCGCGTTCCTCCCTCTTGCAAGTGAAGGTGGCCTGGGGACGTTGCTCGCCGAGCAGCGACCTAATCTTCGCATTGGTGACGTCGCAAATCTGGTAGTTGTGCTTGATGACTTCTCCGTTCTGGTAGCAGACACCACCTTCTCCCGTCTCCATAAGAGCGTTGCAGGCCTTGTCCTCCGTGCAGACATTGCAATTGATACCGGTCCATCCTTCGTCGCAACCGCACGACTTGGCTTTCGGAGAGCGCATCGGACGGTTTTGGTTCTCGCCACGACCGAGGGAACCACATACTGGAGCAGCAGTGAAAGATGGTTAGCAAGGCGACGAGGAATCGAGGAAACGAAAGAGTAGGCTCAGGCTGGTCGGGGGAGGGAGAGAATAAAATGGCGGCGAGAGATGTAATGAGACAGGCGAAGAAGCGACTGGACCTCGGATCAGATGAGGGAGGACGTACGGGGTTCGAGACAGTCATCGCCGCCGAAACCTTCAGGACAGTCGCATTTGCCCGTGTAGTCGTTACAGCCGGAAAATTGGGTGCACTTGTGGGCGGGGAGAAGGCAGTTGAAGCTGGGGGAAGCCAAGAAGATACGTTAGCCCGGGGGAGCCAGCTGAAGAACGGGGGGGGGAAGGAAGATGGCGAGGGACGCACCACGGGGGACAGTGGCCAGGACGCGAGTCCATAAGAGAGAGCTGAACTCGATTCATGTCGAGCTCGGAGTAGCTCGACGTATTGTGCTGGGCGTTGGCGAAGGACGGTGACAATGACGACAGGCCGACGAGAGCGCCCAGGAGCAAGGCGCTCTTCCACGTCGTCGGGAAAGCCATGACGGGGCGACACGACGTGGAGGAGTAGTGGTAGGGTGATCGGACTGTGATGGACGACGGATCGAAGAAGATGGCCCCCAGTAAGATGTTGTTTGGCAGTGTGGGGGGTTGGTGAGGAGTGAGGTGGTGACAGAGGATGGGAAGAAGAAGGCCGAAGCTCTAGTCGTATGTTGAGAGGCTTGAGAGGCTGGAGGGGGAACAACCTTGGGGGCCTAGACGTACTGTAAAGCATAAAGGAAGGGTACAGGTACCTCTGGGGTGAGGTGACGGAATGACGCGGAAGATGAGACAAAGGTACTTTAGAGGTATTATCTAGTATTATATAACACTGCAGGGTACTTTAAAGTACCAATATCTACCTATACCTACCTACCGGTAAGGTACCTAGGGAAACACTTGAGAAAACATGGTGGCTTCGAGCGGGCCCAATGACGAAACCAGGATGGTTATCTGGGGATCGGAGCTGCTGTGTACCTGGCGCTATCTCGTCACGGGGCATGGGGATGAATCCATGGGACCTCGACAGGTACATGGTAGCTGTTGTGCTCTGAGTCCTGCGAAGAGTGACTGTACTCGGTCCGAGGGAGTCACGAGGGGTAGAGGGATTCCGCCAGAACGCGTCAGGACATTAAGGTACCTACGTACAGACGTACAGAGCGTCCGTCTGTAAGACTCCTCACACGCCCTATTGTCAACCCGGTGTCAAATCCAATATCGACACGACGCTACAGACTAGCTTCAAGTTCTCGGATTGATATAGAACCCATGGGACAGACAAAGAATTTCTATCTGAAATAAGTAGAAGAGACATTGGATTGCATCTCGTCTAGAACATATTCATTCATTCCCACTTGACCTTGTCTGTCTTTTGTCGCTTGGACAGAGAATTGTTCCATTCTCTTGATTCTCCCCCTCAGAACAAATACGCTGGAATAAGAGGCTCATTGAATATCATGGTCCGAATCGCCCCTTTCGCAGTCGAAGAATGGATGGACGAATACGAGAACACGCCGGGCTGCCTTAACATAGCCGAGACCTGCGCCGCCTCCGTGTCTATTGACGAGCTGGTGGCGCTCGCTAGAAGCCCGAACGTGAAGAACGCCCAAGGAGAAGAAGGGAAAGCCGTTCCAGGTCCCGTTGAGGCGGCCTTCACTTCCACCAAACTCACCTACGGCGCCATCCGAGGTTCGGAAGCGTTGCGTCGGAACGTCGCCTCCCTCCACGAGACCGAGCTGCCTTCTGCTACTACTACGACTCCCCTGCAGACCCTTTCCCCCGACGACATACTCATCACCCAGGGTGCCATTGCCGCCAACTTCCTCGCCCTCTACACCCTCGTCGGCCCAGGTGATCATGTCATCTGCGTCTACCCGACTTACCAACAGCTCTACTCCGTCCCGGCCAGTCTGGGCGCCGAGGTCTCCCTATGGAAACTCAAGGCCGAAAATGCCTTCATCCCCGATGTGGCTGAGCTCGAGGCACTCGTTAAGCCCAACACCAAAGTTAGACATGTCCCTCGAGCTCCTCTGTCTCCTCCCTATTCCATTTCACTTTCACTTTCACTTTCACTTTCACTTTCTCTTACTATGCATATACTTATACGCCGCCTGACCGCTTCCCCAGATGATCATACTCAACAACCCAAACAACCCAACCGGAGCACCCATCCCGCTCGGCACCCTAACCGAAATCGTCGCCTTCGCCCGCGTCCGCAACATCACAATCCTCTCCGACGAAGTCTACCGGCCACTCTTCCACTCCCTACCGAGCGACGACACCCCTCCACCCCCCGGCATCACCGCCCTGGGCTACCAAAACGTCATAGCCACCGGCTCCATGTCGAAAGCCTACGCCCTCGCCGGCCTCCGCATAGGCTGGCTCGCCACCCCGTCCCGCGCCCTCCTCGACGCCTGCGCCTCGGCAAGGCACTACACCACCATCAGCGTCTCGGCCCTCGACGACCGCGTCGCCTCCTACGCCCTCTCCCCCGCCGTCCGCCCCGCCCTGCTCCGCCGCAACCTCGACCTCGCGCGCACCAACCGCGCCCTCCTGGCGGGCTTTGTCGGCCGCCATGCTGCCGTGTGCGACTGGGTCGCTCCCCTCGCCGGCACGACCGCTTTCGTTCGCTTCCGCCACAGGGACGGGGACGGCGGCGGGACAGGGCGAGGAGGACGGCCTGTCGATGACGTGGCTTTCTGCAGGGACGTGCTGGATCGCAGTGGCGTCTTCTTTGTCCCCGGGTCGAGGTGCTTTGGCGACGGCTCGGACTTTGCGGGGTACGTACGCATCGGCTACGTTTCCTCGACGCAGGTCCTGCAGGAGGCGCTGGGAAAGTTGGATGCGTATATCGAGGCGCATCTTTCTTGATTTCTCCTGTCGGCTGTCAAAGCAGTTTACTTTCCCAACTTCAAAGCACTGGGGGAGCAACCTAGAACGAGACGTCGATGATATTCACCAACTCCACGCCTAGAAAGGAAGAAGAAGAAAAAAACGACATACAAAAATAAAATAAAAACGTGTAAAAGGAACCGACCACGTAGTAAAACGACGTCCCCGATAGGACCCTCTCTTCACCGCCCCCGACATCGCCTAACCGAATTTACCCAAATTTCTTCTCAAACTTCTTGAACATGCCCGTAACCCCCTTTTCAAGCCGTGCCGCGTTCTGCTCCAACCTTCCCGATGGCGGGTCCGCCCTATAGTCCTTATGCTTCTTCGCTTCGCCCTCGGTAGGACGGTAAAATTGCGAGTGGGCCGCATAGGCCGACGCATCCTGCTGCTGGGCCTGCTGGTTCTGTGCGTACATATAGGGGGAGTAACCGCCTGGCGGGGTCGTTTGCTGTGGGCCGGGCGTCGAAGGTTGCTGCTGCTGCTGCTGCTGCTGCTGCTGCTGCTGTTGTTGTTGTTGTTGTTGGGGAGGCGGCCCACCTGGTGGAGGCGGCGGCGGCTGGAAGCCCAGGGTGGTCTGCGTCTGCTGGGGCATGACGGGAAGCGTCGCGCTACGCTGCAGGCCAAATTGCGGCGGGGGGAGACCGGGGCTCGCAACTCCCGGCTGGCCGCCCGGCAGAAAGCTTGGCGGCGGGACGAAACCTGGAGAGAAGGGGGCTTGGGCGTCGTAGGCTACGGCCTGCGCCAGGGGGTCGAGCCCCCCGTCGTCGGGAGGCGGCGTCTTCTCCCGGTGCCGGATCGTCTCGGGCGCTGCGGGCGCCGCGGGATTATATGCCATCGGGGCGTAACTGGCGGGGGCTGGCTGCTGCTGCTGCTGCTGCTGTTGCTGTTGCAGCTGTTGCACCGGCGAAACAGCCGATACGGGGGGCGGACCTGGGATGGCGACGGGTACGGGGGCAGCCTGTGGCGCTGGGTCGGCGGCCTTGTAGGTCGGGTCGGAGATGGCGACATTTTCGAGCTGCTGCACCACGGAGCTCGCGTCGGTCTGGTGGGCTGGTGGGGCGGGCTCGTCAAGAATCTCGAGCTGGTTGGGAGGCAGCAGGCGACGGACACCGTTGACAAACTGAAGTGCGTCCTGAGGGGTCCAAAAGTAAATGTCGACGGAGTGCAGCGGGTAATGGTACTTGTTCTCGTTGCGGGGATCGAAGGTTGGGAGATGCCAGTAGTTGGGGTCGTTGTTGGGCTGGCCTACCGTCAGGGTGACGAGACAAGAGTGTTTGTACGAGTAACGAAGGTTGGCCGAGTCGAGGACTGCAATTGTGGGTGATATTAGTGGGAAGAACAAACAAACAGCCTGTAGGAGATACGCGACGGGGAAACTTACAGCCCTCGAGGGCATCTTGGTTCTCGGTGCCTGGCTGGTTCGCGATCTCAACGCGCGCGCGACGGGCGCTGGCATTCTCGAAGAGGTAGACATAGGAAGCCTTGTCGAATCGATGATGGGGAGGGTCGTTGGTCGGAGGTCCGTAGAAGTAATGGACATCGCCGTAGCTAGTGACGCAGACGGGCCAGTCAGCCATTATGTCCCAACTTGCGCAGTGGTCGCTGGTCTGTTGTCCTGAATCGCGTTGGCAGAGATGCGATGCGATGCGGAGGACCTGGGACGTTGGGACGTTGAATGTGGGATGTGGGAATTGGGATTCGGGACGTAGGACATACAGAGTGGCTACATTCTCCTCACCCGCCTGGGTTGCCATCTTGATTTGCTCCAACCGACAACACAACCCGACAAAGCCAAGGGAGAGCGAAGCCAAGAGAACAAAGACGGCGTTGGTGCAGATGAAGAAATGCCCAGTGCTGCAGGACCAAGGGCGGCGGCAGGTGTGAAGAGGAGGGTCGACACACAGGGCCGAAGGTCGAGACCCGGGAGGCTGGCCGAGTTGAGTTGCTCTTTGAGGGACCCCGCCTAGGACCAACTGGTCTTGTTGGGTGGGTGACACCGGCCTGAAGATGAGCTTATGGCTGCTGCAGTTTGGCAATGCGTCAAAGAAGACCAGCGGTTACACGAGGCAGTTGGAAGGGTTGAAGACGAATTTCTCCTCTGGGGTCGCTTATGTACCGCAGTGGCCCGACACAGACAAGAGGATCCCCATTGTGGGAGTTCTGGCAGCCAGAATGCCCTGGGCCCTCGCAGCCATCCCGATCTGGGCGTCTAGCTGCATGAATGAGGAGTGGGAGGTGCCAGAGTAGAGTAGGATACAAGTAGTAAGTGGTCGACCCGGCGCTTAGAAGATCTTCCTGGGAAAAGATGCAGCCAATGACGATGTCCGAAGCTCGAGTGCCTTGTGGAAACTCACGGCGAGAGAAGTCGGTCGAACAAGAAGACCCCTGGTCCCTGTGATGTTCTGAGGGGAAATGGGAAGAAGTGGGTGAGTGGGCGGTCTGGTGGGGTACTTTGGTTCGTATGGAGTATGTATCGGTACTACACACTGTGTATTACTCAGACCTGGGCTGACCGCTGAACTCTCGGTGAAGCAGCCTAGCTTAGTCATTGACCGACGATTCTACCGGGAATGGGTACGGGTACCAAAATTTTGGAATGGGAATTGGCCGCTTTCTACGATCCCATTTCTTGCTTCCACGCGACATGGCAACACTACGACAATCGCGACAACCTCCACCAGAGAATCGAAACAATTAAACATCCACTATTCTCGATACATATCGCTCCTAGTCTTCTAGGTATCTCGACGCTTCTCTCGAACGCTCTCAAAGCCATCACGAACCGAGCTCACCCACCAAACTTCGCCAGCAGTATCTCCAGCACCATACTCATCACGAGACGACCGAGCCCTCTAGCCTGAGAGGTATCCCTCCTTCATAACCGGTCCGCGCGCCGGCTCGCAGCGCCTCCCCTTCAAGTTCCTCCAATATACCCTCGAACAAAACAACCGCAAACGAATACCAACCAAAATGGCCATCTACCACGCCATCAACGCCTGCGCGCACCTCTCCAACGTCGCCGCCGCAAGGCTAGGCATGACCTCCCTCCCCGCCAACAAAGTCAACCTCAACCTCGCCCTCGCCCTGCACCGCGCCGGCTTCATCTCCACCGTCTACCGCGGCGGCCCGCACCCCCCCTCGCCCGAAGACCTCACCCGCCCGCCGCCGCCCACCACCCACGCCGACGCCGCCAGCCGCCGCCTCTGGCTCGGCCTCAAGTACTGGAACAACGAGCCCGTCCTGCGCAAGATGGTCAACGTCCACCGCCCCAAGCGGCCCATCACCCTCAAGACCGAGGACCTCCACCGCGTCGTCCGCGGCTTCCCCTCCAAGGACGGCCTCGTCAAGGGTCTCAACCTTGGCGAGTGCATCTTCCTCATGACTGACCGCGGTCTCCTCGAGGGTAGGGAAGCTCTGGCGAAGAATATGGGTGGTTTGGTGCTCTGTCGTGCGAGGTAAACCATTCTGGATCCCCCTCCCCCCCTTCCCCTGCCGTCTCAGGTTTTTATGGTTGTTTTGGGTGGTTGGGAGGCAGAAGAGGGGGGAACTTGGTCCGCATGAGAAGACGAAAGGAGGATGAAGAGAAGGGAAATATCAAGACGTAGTGTCTGCATAGAGCAGTCTACGAATCTCATACCCTGGGGGATTGCTACTGGCCTTGGGATAAGCCTGGTTTACCGATAGGAAAACAAACCCCCCCTGTATCTGTACCATATTGTACTGTCATGAAATTTGAGTCTGCCAATATTAGAACAAGTAATGCATCTCCTCATGGACTTGTAGTAAGGGCTGGTCCTGATAGACACGGCAACGTGAGAAACCACATACCGCTGTAGCACTGGACGTGTATTCTTCTACGTCCTTCGAAATGGCAAATAAACCAAGGCCACGCAGGGAATAACCCCGAACAATAGACAAACAACTAACTTACAATGAATGTACTTTTGATTTGCTTGTTTCTACAGAAGTAACAAAATAAGAATAAGTAGAAGTAACAATAAAAAATAAAATAAAACAAAAATAAATACAAATGCCAGTTACTCCTTTGCTCCCGGCCAACAGCTTACGCCACAATGCACCTCTGCGCGGTCGGTTCTGGTATCAAAAGTATAAAAACAAAATGCTTCATCTGCCCAAAATAATGCTACCCCATGCCTCATCTCAAACCTACCGCTCCTCTCACGCACTCTAGTCCGTGAATTTTGGGAAACTAAAGTAAGAATATCGAGCAGAAACCTATTCCAGCATGCTCCCAACTTTAGTTGTGTCTTCTGCCGGCCCATTCTCTTCCTCGGGGGGGACATCGACCTCTTGCGCGGCCGGGACCGTCTCCTTGGTTTCTCCACTGGCGGCGGTTTCCTCGGCAGTTCGGGATGGGCCGGCGTCCACGGGAGGGTCGTCAGCTGGAGCCGCTTCGCCCTTCGTGCCGTCTTCTTCGGGCTTGCCTGTGCCCTGAGACTCTTCCGCGGTGGCTCTCTCTTCGGCGACATCTGCTTCTGCCACATGATTCTCTGCGGCCGCGGGCTCTTCGCCATGCTCCGGCCCCGTGACTGGATTCATAGCCTGCTCCACAATTGCCTCGGTGGTCAACTCGGCGGCTTGTTCTGACTCCGTGGTCGAGTGAGGCGTGGGCTTCGCCTCGGGTTTGTCCTTCTCGTCGTTGTCATCTTCGAGGCTAAGAGACTGGACAGCCTCCGTGGTACTCTTTACATCAGCCTCGGCCTCGACTGGCTCGGCCGCCTGGCCCTCGCCCTCCTTCGCATCCGCTGTAACCTTGGGAGCATCCTCGGCCGGGCGAGCGGCCTTCGGTCCCGGGCTTCCGGTGGCAGGCAGAGCAGACTTGGCAGCCGTCTTCTTTCCGCTGGCGCTTGCGGAAGCCGAAGCAGTCCCCCGCGCCGAACCAGGCGTCGTTCTCACGTTGCCTCTCCGTGGCGGCGTGACAGGAACCTTGTCGGTGACTTTGGAGTTGGAGCTCTGCGTAGGCCTCATCATGCGGGCGAGGAAGCTCTCGTCGACGTCCTTGTCCTTGCGCGTGACGGGATGGTCCTCGAGTGACTTCCTGGGCGGAGGGCCTATGCTGGGCATGGGGTGGTTGATGGTGGACCTCTGCCTCCGGATCGTCCTGTTGGTGGCGGACGTGCCGACGGTGGACACGCTCGCTCTGCTAGGCGAGCGGCCAAAGCAGGTGCCGAGACCGGAGACTGAATCCCGGCCGTTTTCCCTGACTTTGGAGCTCGATGCGGCCGTGGGGGCCATGAGGGAGGGCGGTAGGTTGACGGGTCGAGTCGGCGACTTGACTTTGGGCTTCACGAAGCCTGTGCTGCTGCCGGGCGATACCTGCACGGGGGCCGGTGTTACTTTCTTGCCGGTTGCGGGAGTAGAAGCTGGCGTAGCAGATCTCGTGGAGCTCCTCGCGGTGGTCGCGGTGGTCGCGGTCCTAGCGGTTGTAGTAGGCTTTTCGATCGACTTCTTAACAGGCTCGCGAGTGGTCTTCGCGGCTTTCGTGCCCGTGCCCGTGCCCGTGCCCGAGGCTGGCTCGGTGCCGTTGGTCGGCGTCCTGGGGGATATGGCGGCTGTCCTTCCGGGGGGCTTTGTCGTGGTAGTCTGGAGCTTCGCAGGCTGCTTGTTCGCAGCCCGTGGGACTGTCTTGTCGGGCTTGGCCGTCTTGGATACCTTGGCGCCAGAGTCCCCGATGGGCGTAAGGGGGTTCGAGGGGCCTTTGTCGGGAGGTGATGCCGGCAGAAGCTTGGGCGTGGGCGTCTCGGTATCGACGCGTTTGTCAGGATTCAGGCGGGGCTTATCTGTGACAGCTTCCAGGGCCGTTGTGCCATGAGTGCCGTTCTTGATGTTGGCGACGAAGGCACCGTTGGATTCGAGCTGCCGAGGCGACTCGGGAATAGGCTCGGGGCCCATATTGGCCTTTTCTGAAAAAACCAAAACACTTCCTTCTTCCGTGTTGGAGCTGAGTCTGCGTTGCGACTGACTGCGTGCCGAATCGTTGCTGGGATCGCGTCTAAGCCCTATTCTGCCGTCCTTCTCGATTGCAATGAAGCTGGAGCGGACCTTGGACAGGGGACGGGGCGTTGGGGTATCGGTGCCAGCTGGAAGAGTGACGACGTACACGGTCAGCGAGCGAGTTCAGAAGGAGGGTGCGTGGGGAAGGGACTATAATATGATGTAGGGACTAAGGCTGGAAGATTGTAGAGCCAAGGGCGACGCCTGTCGTCCTTTTGACGGGGCCTGGGGCCGCGAGGAATATGGATGAAGAGCAGTGGTGAGATCAGGTTGAAGAACATACTTGCAGGGCCGGCGGGAGATCTTCCCCGATCCATGCCTAAGCTACTCTCGGGCGGACTCGCATCCTTCTTCTGCTCAAACATAGCCCGAAGGTTCTTGACCTGGGACATGGCTGTTGTGGCGACGACCCGTCGGCGAGAGGTCTTCTGTGAGCGAAAGTCGTAAGGGTGAGGCTAGGAGGTCGGCAAACGAGCTACGATTGCTGGGTGAAGCAGAAGCATGCCGGATTGAGGCTGTTCTCCAGGGGCGGAGTTTGTCCCTGCCCTGGGTTGCTGGGTTCTGGGCTGCTGGGTCACCTGAGGAGGATCTCGTCGGGTCTGTAGGTACCGTCGGTATTTGTCTGGAGGGAAAGGTCGGAGGGAAAGGTCGGAGGAGCCCAGTGAATGGCAGAGCTTTGGTGTCAACGCCAATGTCTGACTTTTGCAAAGGACAGAGTCGTACGTGGTAAGGAGGTGGGTGTTTTTAGGTGGCAGGAACGTCTGATCGAGAGCTCTGAGGGGAACGCGATGCTCTCACTGTAACGATGTACTTCGTACCTAGGTTAAGGTACCAAGCTGGGTACCTAGGTGGACAGGTACTAGTGGAGTAAGGGGTTGGGTTACTTGATTACTTTGAAGAAGCGACCAGAACTTAAGTGAACCGGGTTGATGGATGGCGGACCGTGTTGAGGGGTTCAACGAGCAATGAGACCAACGGTGATGTAGCTTCCACAGAGGTATGATAATAAGGTAGCTAGAACATGCCACTTGATTGACAACGTTTGGAGAGAACAGGGGGATGGAATGGAAGAAGAAAGGGATGCACTTTCGACTGTTTGAATTAGACAGAGTCAAATCAGTTACGGGGTATCAATTAATCAAATCGACCGTTGTGGTGGCATTTCGGGTGTCGTCGTTAAATTGCAGACAAGAAATGGCCCCTTTAACGCCCAACACCCCCCTTACAAAGGGATGAGCGGGAGGGGCAGGGGGGTTCATAGAGCTCGGGACGAACACACACAAATAGTAGGTACTCCGTACCAAACGCGCTCCACGTACACTGTAGCACGGACACAGTGAGGACACAGACATTTAAGCAGGCCTGGGGGTTCAACGGAATTTCAGGGGTTATCCTCATGCAGGACTTTGCGAATTTTTCGTACTAACTTCCTTTTGTCTTCATGGACAAAAAGGACTGCCGTTCGTTCTCAAAGCCCGCGCCATCCTTTTGTTTGCAAGGTAGGGTACAAACGCTCCCAACTCCAAACGCCATCAGGACGAATCTAATATGTCGTCTGTTTATGATATCAAACAAGACTTACAACACCAGGACCAAAGCACAGCCGAACAATAAAAGGGGAATATATAAGGTACTCAGTACTAATAAGTACATAAGTATATGCTCTGTAAATTATGCCTCCCTTTGTGGTGACACACAGTTGTGTTTCACCGCCAGTCCAGACCATTGGCATAGTAATCACATAGATTGGAGCATTCGATCCACACAGTGTACTCCGTACAGTATACCCGAGATTACGTCCGTCCCCCGCCATGGTCCGATCCGTAGGAATTCTACAGGTATGCTGACTAACAACCCCAGCAAACAATCGCTTGAATTTGATCCAACAGATTAACGAGAAAATAAGAGGAAGACGGACACGAAATGCTAGAAGACCGAATGGAAGCGCAAACTCGACGAAAACATCTCAAAGATGCAAGAATGCTCAATAAGGGACATAATTGTCGTCGGTTCCTCTGACTGAGAAACCCGAGGACTAAGGTACGTTACCTTAGGTAATGAGTTACACTACCAAGGTGCGAGGTATCCCATAAGGTACATGGATGGGTACTTCCAGCAAGTTCGGTTCCGTGCTCCGATATCGACACCGGTCTCTCGGTCCGTCAGTGACGCGACTCCGATAATTTTTCTTCCCAGTGTCTTCCACCACCACGACGTCCAACTCAACCTTGCTACTCCCACTCTCCCAACCGCCGTCTAAATCACTCAATTGCGGCCAAGATGTCGATCCGAACCCTCAGGATCGGTAAGAACCCCTTGAATGAATCCAATTGAACCCGCCCCCCCGAACCCACCCGACTTACAATTCCCGTTCGCACTTCAGGCCTCATTCCCGGCGATGGCATCGGCAAGGAAGTCATCCCGGCCGGCCGCCGCATCCTCGAGGCCCTCCCCGCCTCGCTAGGCCTCAAGTTCGAATTCACCCCTCTGGAAGCCGGCTTCGAGACCTTCGAGCGCACCGGCGCCGCCCTCCCGGATGCCACCGTCGAGGTCCTCCGATCAGGCTGCGACGGTGCCCTCTTCGGAGCCGTCTCCTCCCCCTCCCACCCGGTCAAGGGCTACTCCTCGCCCATCGTCGCCCTCCGCAAGAAGCTGGACCTCTACGCCAACGTCCGGCCCGTCAAGTCCGTCATCCCCGCCACAGCCACAGCCTCCTCGTCTTCGTCCCCGATCAAGCCCGTCGACATGGTCATCGTGCGCGAGAACACCGAGGACCTCTACGTCAAGGAGGAGAAGACCTTCGACGGGCCCCAGGGCCGCGTAGCCGAAGCCGTCAAGCGCATCTCCGAGCGCGCCTCGCACCGCATCGCCGCCATGGCCGGCGAGATCGCCCTGCGGCGCCAGAACATCCGCGCCGCCGGCACCCCGAGCATCCACGCCTCCCCGCTCGTCACCATCACCCACAAGTCCAACGTCCTGTCGCAGACGGACGGGCTCTTCCGCACCACCGCGCGCGCCGCCCTCGCCGCGCCGCGCTTCGCCTCCGTCGCCGTCGAGGAGCAGATCGTCGACAGCATGGTCTACAAGCTCTTCCGCCAGCCCGAGGCCTACGACGTCATCGTCGCGCCCAACCTCTACGGCGACATCCTGTCCGACGGCGCCGCCGCCCTCGTCGGCTCCCTCGGCCTCGTGCCCAGCGCCAACGTCGGCGAGGGCTTCGCCATCGGCGAGCCCTGCCACGGCTCCGCCCCGGATATCCAGGGCCAGGGCATCGCGAACCCCATCGCTACCCTGCGCAGCACGGCCCTGATGCTCGAGTTCCTGGAGGAGGAGGCTGCCGCGGCTCGCATCTACGCTGCTGTCGATGCTAACTTGGCTGAAGGGAAGCTGCTGAGCCCGGACCTCGGCGGCACGGCCAAGACTGATGAGGTGGTGGAGGACATTCTGAGGAGGCTATAGGTTCAAAGTAGGACAAGGGCTGAAAAGGGGGGAAGACTCAAAAGGGGGTTGGGATGGGAAGTAGGAATGGAGTGGACGATAATTACAATAGCCCAATACTGGAATCTGTACTCTTCATGTCATCTATGGACCTCTACTACAAAAAAGTCCCAACTGCAATAGATCTGAAAAACGGTGTCTCTGTTATGACCTACTTCAGAACAGAGTCCGCTGCCAGAGTTTTCTTCATGAAGCGAGATTGTCTCTGGTACAGTATTTCGTCGCAATATCGAATACACACTCTAGGGTCTATCATACGGCCCCCCTTACGGCCAAGGCATCCGATCTCTATCGACGGAGACCCGGGTCGACTCAAATCTAACCCAACATTAGGTACATGCCGGCATTCTATAGTACAGTATACATATGGTCAAATACAAGGAAGGGCCTGCGTCCTAGCAAAGCCCATTTTTCTCCTCCCGTCCCAAGCGCTACCAATACGTGGACGTGTCGTAAGGAAAGTACAGGGCTCGTTGCCCAGGTCAAGGGGAGGGATGACAATGCAGCTTTAAAGCTGCGGGCTGCGGCGAGTCGAGTCGAGTCGAGGCCGCGGAACCCGGACAGAGGAATCCCGAATTTACTTGGTCCTCTTCGCCTCGAGCTCTGCCTGATACTTGGCGATGAGTTCCTTCCTGTAGTTATTTGTCAGCGAGCCATTCTTCATCGCAAGGGAAAGAGGGGGGGGGGGGGATAACGACGAAAAACAGGAAGCGCGACGTACTGCAGATGAGGAGGCGCCGGCGCATAATGGCTAAACTCCATGCTAAACTCGCCCTTGCCCTGGGTGGCGGCGCGAAGCTGCGAGCTAAAGCCGAACATGGAATTCAGACTGCAGTCGCAAATGAGGGTAAAGTCGTCGGTGCCGACCTCGGTATCGTGGATGGTGGCGCTGCGCTTGTTCATGAGCATGATGATGTTGCCCTGGAACTCGTTGGGGGCCGTGATGGTGGTCTTCATCAGCGGCTCGAGGACCTGGCCGCCGGCCTCGTGGAAGACCTTGCGGAAGGCCATCTGCGTGGCCAGGTTGAAGGCGTAGTCGGACGAGTCGGTGACGTGGGTCGAGCCGTCGTTGATGACCATCTTGGCGCCGATGACCCTGTGGCCCAGCAGCGGGCCCTTGTCCGTCACCTCCTCGAAGCCCTTGGCGCAGGCGCTCATGAACTTGTCCGGGATCACGCCGCCCACGACCTGATTCTCGAACACGTTCTTCTCCGGGTTCTCCGCCGGCTCGACCCAGCCCGCCACGCGGGCGTAGTCGCCCGGTCCGCCCGTCTGGCGACGGAGCAAGAAGTCGTACTCGGCCCGGCGCGAGATGGTCTCGCGGTAGGCCACGCGGGGCTGGCCCGTCACGCACTCGGTCTTGTACTCGCGGCGCAGGCGCTCGACGTAGATCTCCAGGTGCAGCTCGCCCATGCCGGAAATAATCGTCTCCTCGCTCTCATCGTCGACGTGCAGCCGGAAGGTCGGGTCCTCGCGCTGGAACCGGTTCATGGCTTTACTGAAGTTGTCGGCGTCGGCGCTCCGCTTGGGCTTGATGGACAGCGACATGACGGCGTCGGGGACGAACATGGACGTCATGGTGTAGGGGAGGCCGCCGTCGGTGAACGTGTCGCCCGAGGCGCAGTCGACGCCGAACACGGCGCAGATCTCGCCGGCGCCGATCTCGTTGACGTCCTCCATCTCGTTGGAGTGCATGCGCACGATACGCGGGATGCGCACCTTCTTGTCCGTCCGCGAGTTGTACAGGTAGGTGCCCTTCTTGAGCTTGCCCTGGTAGACGCGGATGTAGGTGAGCTGGCCGTAGTTGTTCTCCTCGAGCTTGAAGGCCAGGCCGACGAAAGGCAGCGAGTTGTAGGGCACGAGCTTGACGCTCTGCTCTTCCTTGGTCTTGTCGAGCGCGGTGTTCTCAACCTGGGAGGGATCCGGGAGGTAGTCGCACACGGCGTCGAGGACGGGCTGGATGCCCTTGTTCGCCAAGGCCGAGCCCATCAGGACGGGGGTGAACTTGCGGGCAATGGTGGCGCGGCGGATGGCGGCCTTGATCTGCGCGTTGGTGGGCGTCTGCTCCTCGAGGAACAGCTCGGTCATCTCGTCGTCGACGTCGGCCAACTTCTCGATCAACTCCTGGCGCTTCTCCTCGGCCAGAGCCTTCAGGTGGGCAGGGACGCCGTCGACGGTTTTGACCTCGGTGCCGCGGGGGCCCTCGAAGTAGATGGACCTCATCTCGATGATGTCGACGACGCCTTGGTGCTCGTCCTCGGCGCCGATGGGGATCTGGATGGCGGCGGCGGGGACCTTGAGCTTCTGGTTGATCTGCTCGACGGCCTTCCACGGGTTGGCGCCCACACGGTCCATCTTGTTCACAAAGCTCAGGCGGGGAATGTTGTAACGCTTCATCTGGCGATCGACGGTGATGGTCTGACTCTGCACGCCGCTGACGGCGCAGAGAATCATGACGGCACCGTCGAGCACGCGCAGGGCACGCTCGACCTCGATGGTGAAATCAATATGGCCAGGGGTGTCGATGATGTTGATGTGGTAGTTTTCCTCCTTTCCGTCTTTCCTTTTCCTCCAGTTGGCGAACGTGGCGGCCGATTGGATGGTGATGCCCTTCTCTCGTTCGAGGTCCATCGAGTCCATCTTGGCGCCCACCGAGTCCTTGCCGCGCACCTCGTGGATGGCCTTGATCCTGCCCGTGTAGAAGAGCACGCGCTCCGTCACCGTGGTCTTGCCGCTGTCAATGTGGGCGGCGATGCCAATGTTCCGTACGTGAGACAGTCTCTCGGCCTCCTCGGGGCTCATGCGAGCGGCCACAGCTTCGGGGGTCAGGGCGGCGGCATTCTCCTGGGCCATGCGGAGGGCTTCTTGGGCGGCGTCGGTGGCTTGGCGGTGTGTCGTCTGGCTAAAGTTGCGCTTCGGCTCGACCTGGCCGCATTTCTGCGTTTCCCTAGTTGGCGATGCACCCGCAATCCCAACGGTGATCTTGTTGACGGCGGCTATGGCGCCGAAATACCGGACACCGCGGGCTTGCGTCTGGGCACCCACAAAGGGGCGCCCACTCAGCACTCTAAGAGTCTTCGAAACCCTCATCGTGACCATTTGCAATTGCAATGGTATGAGGGTTGAGAAGAAGATAGGGGTGCAATGGGGGAGAAGAGAATGACTGGGCCCATCTGCAAGTCGGAAGTCCTCGGGTTTGTTGGTTGTTCTCTTCGTCCCTCTGCTGATGTTCTCTCTCTTTTTTTTTTTTTTTTTGCCTTCCTGTCTCCTTTCTCGGTCCAGCGAAATATTTTTTGGGCCGCCTGTCGATCATTGGATAAGCCGCGCAGTCACCTGACCACGCGCTTTCGAGCAGCACAAGTGGAGGAGGGAGTACGAAGTACGTACCGACAAAGCGCCTTGTGCTGGTACGTACATCCCTATCGAATCATCTACCACAGGTACGCTTAGTCATTCACTACTTTGTATAGGTACTTCGCATTGCCTACCCCTTGAGAACTCCTCCCAACATGAGCAATCCTTGTTACCTTTATACACTGCCATTTTCGTCTCCTAGTTGCAATTGTACTGACTTTCGCATGCCTACATCGTTCCAGTGTATTACTACCTGCGTATCTGATGGCCCGCATACCGTTCTCTGTCGGCCGCCGGGCCTACCACATAGGACTTTAATCTCAACCATCCCTTCGCACATTAAAGATCAACCACGGTTCCTCATTTCAGCACAGTACTCCAGGAATCCGCTCCCCAAACTTGGAAAAACTCCAGATTTTCGACTTTGTCGCGTTGAACACCGTCGGTGCAATGCCAACCTCATGGTTAACGAGGTCGTGCACGATGTAGGCGGACCGCAGAAACGAGTCGCCCAGAATGTACGGCCCCCGGGTGGCGTTCCGGATGCCGAACCGGCAGAGCTTTTCTTGGGGGTTTCCGTCGGAGAGCAAGCCCTCGTCCCCGGCCGTCGTGGTGGACCACTTGGGCGCTCCCATGACCAGCTCGTTCATATGGAGCTGGACGACCGGGCCGTCGCTGGACCCGAACCGAAACGTTACCGTCTCTTCGCCATCGGCCCTGTCGCAGGCGATCAGGGGCGCGGCGATGCCGGGCGGGAAGACGACGCCTAATTCGCGATAGATGACCTGCGCTATCGCGTTCGGCAGGTGGGTCATCGTGGCGCCGCTGTCGAGGATCACGCGCAAGCCGCCGGCTCCCACGCGTCTCTCGGGGATGCTGCGGGCTCCCACGCGCCTCTCCGGGTCACGGGCCCTGAATACGTGGAGCGAAGACAGGCGCACTGTGAAGTAGTCGTATCTTCCCCCGGCCGTCTTGAGAACGGGGACCTTCTTCAGGGTGCCCTCAAACTTGGCCCTATCGATGCCGCCGAAGAGGATGTTGCCCTTGTCGGCATCTGCCAAGAAGAAAAAGTCAGAACATGGTGGTAATTTCCTCGCCTCAACATGCGACGGAGAAGCGAACCAGCACAAAAAAGAAAGACCGAAAAAAAGAAAGAAAGACCTGAAAAAAAATACGTACCAAGGTCGTTTAGCCACAAGCTGTACGCGACCGTGTTGATCAGACCTTGCTTCTGCATGCGCACTGGCAGGTTGTCATGTGCGACTTTCCTTGACCTGCGCCTCGAGCTACGCCTATACCCGATGCCGGCAATCCCGAACGGAATGTCCGTCTGCAACCCGAGCCCAGCTGGCAAACCGTAAACGACAGCGCCACCAATCTCTATAACATCTGTGAAATAGGTCCCCTTCACGAAAGTGTTGTCGTGGTATGTCACTTTGAAAGGGGCGTTCAAGCTTTCGAAGGTTTTGGAGTCGGTGGGCATGACTAGACGCCGTATAGGCAGTTAGTCTCGGGTTTGTGCCCGATCCCACCGGCTTCGCGGAAAGGGGAAAGGGGAAAGCGAAGGAGAGAGAAGAGACCATACACGCGCCATGTTTGCACTTGTTCTCCTCGCCGTCGCTGCCGCGCGCGCAGATATCAGCCGTCTTGCTTGGGACCCAAATATCGGCGCTACCGGTGTCAAGATGAAGGAAGAGCTCCTGAGGTGGCGTGCCGATGTTGATGCTGGCAAAATAACCGATCCGCCCATTGCTAATCTCTTCCTCGAATATACCCGGCACATCACGCCGCCCCAACACCGCAGCCGACGGGGGATAGTGGTGTTCGTGGTGCCCCAGGGGAGATCTTTGGACGTCGAGGAGAATGGCACCGTCATTGCTAAGGCCAGTTGACCTCGGCGTCACACCCTGCGGATTGGCTGACCTTGTCAGGTCCATCTTCGTCATCGGTATCCCCATGGCTGCGGAAGTTGCGTGGAAGCTGGTAAGGGAATTAATTGCGTGGAGGGCTGTGAAGGGAAAACCTAGCCACTGTCGCCATGACGGGCCTGGGTGCTCTCCGGAATATATGCATGGAGAAGGCCAAATAGCTTCGGTGTGTGCGTGGTTGTATCAGTGGGAGATCGTATCAGAAAACAAAATAGCGATCTCTTCTCTCCTAGAGCGGTGGACACGAGCTCCTAGGAGACCTTGATCAAAAGCCACAAAGCCTTAGTGCCTTCTCCATGAATAGGTGACGGCGACAGAGACCGTATCGAAACTCGACAGAAGGGGTGTTCTAATGATGTCTTTTTATTCGGATCGGCGAAGAGTTTGTTTGCCGTCTACTATCGAGCAAGTCGGAAAGGATGGACTGTCAAATCGCGGATCTGAAGACATGCTTCACCTTCGCGCAAACCGATGGCGCACCGAACTCTTGAGCCAGGGGAGAAACAACAATGTGACCAGTCTGCGCTGTTGATGAATAATAGACCACAAGAGCTGCCGGTATGCGGCGAAGGAAATCTCTCTTCTGGTTTCCCTCTTCTCGTGATTGGGGTGAGGAAGGAGAGGATCAGTTGATCATGAAGTGCCCAGCCACAAGCTACTCCGTAGGTACCTGTACTACGTAAAATGCGGAGTACTTGTAGGCTGTGCTGGTTGGCTGAGCAATAATCAGCCATCGTACATGTGTACATCGAGCAGCCCACGGTTACGTGTTTACGGATCGTCAGTGTGTGCTTTGGTAGCAGTGAAGTTTGGGAAGGAAGAACCATACCTTAGTACGGATTATTTCGATGTTGAGAGGCTTGGGGCTTCATTCCTGAGTAACACGACGAAGGTACGTACGTATAGGTACAATGACAGAGAGTCTCACAAAGCCAACTGCCCGTCGGACATAATTGTAGTGGACCCACTCAGTTCGCCCAGTTGCCGAGACCGTATCAGGCGGGGTATCCGAGCTCTCTCTTCATTGATTGGTTTGTTTGGTTTCTGATTTCGGTGTCCCCCCCGGCTGGTAGCGGACTACTCCTAATCTGGAAATACTTCGATACGAGGTACCTCTTCGTACTTCGTCCGTCTTCTTTCGAAGTACACGTGTAGCGCCTTCTTTCCCAACGCTACGTATGAAGTACTCCGTAACTCACTTAGCGCTGCATGTGTATGGAGCAGGCAACTGCAATAGCGACCGACGAGGGGAAAGGAGAGGCAATGGGAAACAAAGGAACACAAAACTTGTTGGCAACTCAATAATCGCCTCCTATTACCTTATGTATGCTTATGTACAGGTATCCGTACGTTGTATGTAGAAAACTCCGTCTACAGATACTCGTCGCAGGCCATCAAATGTGGCCCAGCCCCCAGCCACTTCCTTCACTGCTCTTCGAATTCATCCAATGCCCCTGCCCCTGTCATGGACTCGTGGTCCCTGGTTCTTTGTGTTGGGAAGTGTGTGCGAAGTAGGTACGTTGGACGTACCAAGTCAATACAATACCTAAGGTACTTCGTACTTTGCTGCGTACCTTACCTTACCTTCGGGGTCCTCTTTCCCTTTTCCCTGCCCCCGTTTATTCTCACCCTCTTCATCTTCATCGATCGCATCCTCAGCATCCTCACAATATGGTCAAAACTCCTCGCATTTGACGGTCAGCCATGTCCCAACCGTTCTAATAATCGATCAACTCGGCGGAACTCCCGTTCTGCCAACCTCCTTGTCCTCTTCGTCCTGTCCATCTCTACCTACCGCCCTTCTACCGCCCGTTGCATACACCGTTACCGTTATTCCCCAACGGCCGCTACTCGAAACCAACCACCCACCAACAAGCCCTCACGCAAACCATCAACATCAAGCCATCCTCCCTCCTACTCCCTCATGCATCGTCTCCCAGTCGCTCGTTTGAATCATGTATCTACAACAACTAAAGACAATACCCATCTCCGTCGACTTATTGCCGGATATCGACCCGGGGGACTCGAAATCGCACGCCCCGCTCCATAAACGGGAGATGGACATGCCGAAAATCGGATTCGTACGCTGCTCCCATTCCACTCCTCTCCGCCACTTCTTGCTGCTAATCTCTGCCTTGCTTCCCCTCTCTTTCCCACAGATTTTCCTTGGCACCTGTCTAGCCGTCCTCGTCATCTGCTGTGTGTACTGGACCTTCCGCTCTATTCGAACCCGACAGGGGCCGCGTAAGAACAACACGGACGTTCTCGGTCTCATTTCTAGCTTCCGCCCCGCGGCTGCCACGGTTGCTGCGTATCAACCAGCTCATAACGACGATTCCGCCGATGGTCCTTCGACCGGCGCATCCCACGCGGGCGGTCACGACGCGTCATCTCGCAATGGAAGCGCCCTGGGAACCACCACCATCGACCGCAATACCTCCGTCCGGTCCGTCATAACTTTGCCCGCCTATCGACCCAAGGCCGGCGACTCGGAGCAGGTCATCGCCCGCGAAGGAGAACGAGACGGCATTGACGTCGTCCTGGAACTCCCCACGGCCGAGGACGAGGAACAGCTGCGCGACAGCGAGATGCAGACACTCTACGAGATACGCCTGGCTCGCCGCCGCGAGATTACCGAGCGCGAGCAAATCCGACGGGAACGCCGCGAGGCCCGGTCCCGCAACGACACTGCTGCGCTCGAAGAAATCAGCCGCAGATCGCGCGCTGCTAGCAACAACTCCTTGATGGAAGAGCTCCGTCGTGACCACGAGCGCATCAGGAACGAGCGCCAGAGGACTACATCCAGCGTCTCGTACGCCGATCTGGGCATCGCGAGGCATGACGGGTCCCGTATCCGCGCCAGCAGCACCGAGAGCGAGAGGGTCGGCCTCCTGTCCGACGCCGCTAGCGTCGCTGCTGTCTCCGTCCGATCCGGCGCCGTCTCCCCCTTGCCCAGTCCCCGAGCTCCGAGCGCCACCTCATTCCGAAGCGCCGAAACAGACTTCCCGAACCCCGTCTACTCGAGATCGCGAGCCGGTTCGCGCACCGATCTACCTCGCCTCTCCGTCTCGCCCCTCCCGAGCTCGGATGCTGCGGAGACTGACCTGGGCGACTCTCATATGCCACTGCACTCCCCTCCCGGCTACGAGGATGTGCCCCTCGACGAGGACCGTAACGGTTCTAGATCCGTCACCCCTCACATGGAGCCGCCTCCCGGTTATTCAGGCCCTGCGCAACAACGAGCGTCGCAAGCGGCGGGGGGCGAAATGGCAGGCTTGGCAAACGCGACCACCGATCCACTTTCGTCCACGCGCGAGCAGCCAGCTCGTGCGTCGTCGACGGGGCTTAGCGGTGTGCCTCGACTCCCTGCTCTTCAGCTGACGGATCTACCACGGATCGTCGTTGAGCCCTCGAGTGCCCGACCTGCTGACGACTCGCGGACTCCATGACGACCCTGGAGCGTTGCAAGGAGCAACTTGGCCCACAGGGGGATTGCTCCAAGTTCAAAAAGAAAAAAAAGAAGAAAAAAAAAAGAGAAAAGAATTGTGCTTCCTAACGATCACGATATGACGTGCGGAGGGAAGAAGGGACGAGCAAAGCAGGGGGCCCCACGAGGAATAACCCCAAAATCCGATTCTTAAATGGAAAGCCTTCCTTGGTATAATTTGGCGTTTTGGGCGAGGGAAACAAGCAGCGAACATGCCAGGCCTTGGGGAATTCGGGATTCCTTTCTTGGCTTTTTGCAATGAGCGATGCACGTTGTATACAAAGTGTGACGGAGAGCATGTGTTTGGGGAGCACCGAGAGAGCGAGACGGAGATGAGAGGTCCTGCGTAACGAATCATTTGAGTTTTTATATGGTCGCATCTTTTGTCGGATCTCGAGTTCTTCGCTAATTATCCGGGAGGGCGAATTGGCGTCTTGACTGGGTTTTTAGCCTTCTATACCATGGAGTCGATAGAGAGATGATCTCGTACATACAATGGAAAAGCGTTGTCCTAAAATGTGTCGATCGAAGTAGCATTGGTGCAAAGGCAAGGGAAACGTGCTGACGATGCGAAATTTGAGGAATCAGACGATGGATAACCAACCAAAAAAAAGAAAAAGAAGAAAGGAAGAAAGAAATTGGCGATAAGAAGAAGAAAAGGAAAAGAAAGACAAAGCAAAAAGCCACTACATCGTCGTGGTGCCTCAGTGATAAGAGGAAATACTGTCCCCGGCCTCCTGAATTACTCCGGGGTAAGGTGTGGGAAACACAGCATTATCGAGCGTACGAATACAACGTACACTGCATAGGTAGGTCCACTGCATCTTTCGCAACTACCGGTCACAATTTCACACCGGCCGGCAATTTATTGGTACACCGGTCCCGAAATCCCTTGCCGCGCTGTGACGAACAGTCCAGAGCTCTGCTCGAGAGCGGGGTGGAGATCTCCATCTAAGAGAGGTCAACCACAACTAACCGAGCTGATTGATGTTAAGCCGTGCTGGTGCTTGTCTTCTTTGGGAAAGTAGTTCTACCTTCCCCTGGGCTGGGCTCATCTCCCAGGACGACGGTCAATTTTGTTTCTTTTTTTCTTCTTTTTTTTTTCTTTTTTTCATTTCAATATTTTCCAGGCTTCTAAAAGTCCATGGGAACTTTCTTTTGTGCACAGAAGTCTGATCCTGTCGTAACCGAACAGGAAACCCGACCATGTCCTCATCCGTGGCCGACACGGAAGAGAAAAGTTCGGATCCGGTTCCCGTCCGTCCTCGGACCGGACCCCCTCCGACTTCGGCGCCAGAGATGAAAGAATCGGAACAAGTTGCGGGCGCTGAAATCGACGACCATCATGACCAACCTCCCGATGGCGGCCTCCAAGCATGGCTCCAAGTGCTCGGCTCCTGGGCCATCCTCGCCGACACCTGGGGTCTAATCAACACCTTCGGCGTCTTCCAGACGTATTACGAGCGCGTCCTGCTGCCGGGCGTTTCGGCCAGCGACATCTCGTGGATCGGCTCTCTACAAGGCGCCCTCCTGATGATCGTCGGCCCCCTATCCGGCTCCCTCTACGACGCCGGCTACTTCCGCCCGCTCTTGCTGGTGGGCATCGTCCTCATCGTGCTCGGCCAGGCCATGACCTCGCTGGCCACGGAGTACTACCAGCTCGTGCTGGCGCAGGGCGTGTGCATCGGCCTGGGGTGCGGCTTGACCTTCCTACCGTCCACGGCCATCCTGAGCCAGTACTTCCGCCGGCGTCGCGCGCTGGTCATCGGGCTCGCGTCTACGGGCTCCCCGCTGGCCGGGTCCCTCTTCCCGCTCATCTTCTCCCGGCTCGAACCTGCCATCGGCTTCGGCTGGACCACCCGCGTCATCGCCCTCGTCCTGCTCGTCCTCTCCATCTTCCCCGCCCTCTTCATGCGGCCTCGCGAGTCGTCGTCGTCGTCGAGGGCTCACGCTACGCCTACGCCTACGCCTACGCCTACGCCGGGCCCCAGGCCTCCTCGCGGCATGCGTTCCCTGGTCGACGAATCGGCCTTCCGGGACGTGCCGTTCCTGCTGGTGATGACGGGCGGGTTCTTCGCCTTCCTGACGCTCTACGTCGCCTTCTTCTACATCGAGCTCTTCGCGGTGCGGCACGGCATCGGGCCGGAAGGGTTCTCGCCGTACTTCGTCACGCTGCTCAACGCGGGCAGCATCGTGGGCCGCGTGGGGCCCAACTACCTGGCCGACAAGGTCGGGCCGCTGCACATCCTGGTCGGGGTGCTGGGGGCGTCGGCGACGCTCATGTTCGGGTGGATGGGCATCCGGGACTTTGGCGGGCTCGTCGCCTTCGCGCTGCTGTACGGGCTGTTCTCGGGCAGTGTGGTCAGCGTGACGCCTACGGTGGTGGTGAGCCTGGCGCCGGACATGGCACGGGTGGGCACGCGGATGGGCATGATGTTCTTCGCGTGTGGGCTGCCCATCTTGTTTGGGACGCCCATTGCGGGGGCCATCGTCGGGGGATACTCGCGGGCCGAGTGGCGGGCTATGATCGGGTATGGGGCCGCTGGGTTGGCGATGGCATGCGTGTTCACTGGTTTGGCGGGGATATATATGAGGTGGGAGAAGCACGAATCATCAGACTAATTTGTAGACGAGACGAAGCAGAAGGATACGAATGACGGAGCACAGCAATGGGGACAAGCATGCCGGGTATGGGGTTGTAGGTGGATGGTGAGATGCCTCCTCTTGATTCACCGCATCCCGGGGAGGACACGGTGTCACGTAGTCTGAATCATACAGATAGATTGATTCTGGCCCCATGAGAACGAAGTATGCTGCCAGATCACGGTGATTTGACAGATGCTGACCTGGAAACTCGCTGCTTCGTGGGTTGGTTCTCTTTTTGGTGGGAACACGCGTAACGTTGCGTAAGAGGAGAAGGTAGAAACCAACCAACCCAGGTGACAGAAGACGAGGCGTTGGATTCTGCGACTCTTTTGGCTTGATAATCGGACGTGAGACCTGACGACCCATGAATGATCGACGAAGGCGCGCGGGTTTCGTTTCATAATCGTCCCGTTTTGGTTTATTTTCTCTTTGTTCACCGCTTACCAAATCTTACCAACGGCGTACATGTAAGAACCAAAATTGGTAAGGATTTGAAATGCATGGAATCCGCGTATTTGGAGCTGGAGCGAAAAAAAGAACAGAAAAGAAAAGAAAAAGTCGGTAATGGGTAAGGTAATGGTGGATACAACGTACATGTACCGTACCTGTCACTGTCGATTTGCGCTGCTTTGTTAAGCCATCAGTCAGCCACCCTAGGAGTCCAGCCCAATGACCCCTCACCCCACCGCCAAGTCGTATCCGTATCCCGGACACCACTGATACGAAGATACTCACCAGTACGGCGGAACATGAGAGAGAATCAAACCTGCACGCAACTGCCGCTACCCGTTTTTGGTTCCGGTAGCTCTTTAACCGCCGTGCCTCGAGAACTGCGTTACCTTAACAGTGAAGTACCACTTGAGGTTTACAAAGAAAGGTAGGTCGTCTTCAATGGTTTCATAGAGAGAGGTTCCCTTGAGTACCTTACGGTAAGATTCATTGTAGTCGGCGTCGCCCTATCAGGACACAAACGTGGAACCATGAGCGTGGGACCCGGCCCCTCCTACTCCCCAAACAATGCAACCCGGTGTGTACGAAGTAATACTTCGTAGATTTAGTGATCTTATTAGCGTCATTCATGGGGCGTACGTGTAGGAAGACATCAGACACGTACCTTAGTAAGGATATATGCGTAAGAAAGCCGCAGCTAACGACGGAACCAGGAGGCAAACACCTTAGTCAGGTTTACATTATCGGCCTGTTTCTGTTTCCGCGTGTTTACGAAACCTCGACAAATCCAGGGACCTTGGCGTCGTAGTACGGCGTAATGTGCGGTTGACTCGGAGGTGGATTCATGCATCGCGCAAGTTGCAACTGGTCACTAATAACAGCCGGGTCCGTCAGGCTCTGTTATCTCTATTATATAAGAACTCACGTATCCCCTCCACTTCATCCCGAGCTCTTGTTGTATACTACAGTCGCATTGATACCCCATCACTACTTCATACAGCTGGATTTCACCTTGGTTTCAACCTTTCATCTCTCGTCATCCCGTCTTTTCCCTCTATTATCTCTCCCCACATCTCCCCGTTAACTCTCACCACAAACGTCACAATGGCTCCCAGAATCGCCATCGTCTACGTATGTTCGCACCTGCCCAAAGCTCGACTGGACAGACAGTTCCGCTGACCGCGTTGGATCGGAATCTTAGTACTCGATGTACGGCCACATCAAGCAGCTGGCCGAAGCCGAGAAGCAGGGCATTGAGAAGGCTGGAGGCACCGCCGATCTTTACCAGTACGTTTCCTATACCGTCATTGCCACCTGATCGGTTACTCGAAACATTGGGCCAACAAAAAAAAAAAAAAACCCCCCCCCCACCCCGAAAACAACCAACATGAGCATGAGACCAACTAACCATCCTCGCTTTCTTTCAGAATTGAAGAGACCCTGCCTCAAGAGGTGCTCACCAAGATGGGCGCTCCCCCTAAGGCTGCCGACGTCCCCGTCCTCTCCGACCCGGCTATCCTGAAGGACTACGATGCCTTCCTCCTCGGCATCCCGACTCGTTACGGCAACTTCCCTGCTCAGTGGAAGGTAGGCACTTATTTTCTCTTTCCTCGTTCTCTCCCTTCAATTTCGGACCTATTGTTCTTGCTAACACGCTCCTTTCTAGACCTTCTGGGACCGCACCGGCGGCCAGTGGGCCACCGGCGCCTTCTGGGGCAAGATGGCAGGCCTCTTCATCTCCACAGGCACCATGGGCGGCGGCCAGGAATCCACCGCCATCGCCGCCATGTCGACCCTCACCCACCACGGCATCATCTACGTCCCCTTCGGCTACGCCAAGGCCTTCGCCCAAATGTCCGACATGAGCGAGGTCCGCGGCGGCTCCGCCTGGGGCGCCGGCACCTTTGCCGGCGCCGACGGCTCCCGCCAGCCCAGCGCCCTCGAGCTCGAGATCGCCACCATCCAGGGCGAGACCTTCTACCAGACCGTCGCCAAGTACACCGGCTCCGGCTGACTACATGGTCCCCAGCACCAGACGGGGAATAATAACAAGAACATCAACAACAACGGCGCGAACCAAGGGGGTGCGGCCAAGCAGGCTCCCCTGAGGCCGGAGGAACTGAAGAGGGATGATGTCAAGGAGGGGCCTTGTGGTCTTCCTTCCAAATGCGTAATTCTATAAATGGGCCGGAAAGCGATCATGTAGAGATGGCATTTCAAGCACAAACAAACAAGAAGAAATGAAAAGAAGAAAAGGAAAAAAGAAAAAAACGAAAAAAAGCGAATAATACCTAACTCAAGGTACCTTAGTTTACGATGTCCCTTGTTTCATTCAATGTTAGCGAGTTCCCATGTACACGTGTAATGCTGTCTTCCGTTCCTTGGTTTTCAATTGGTGAAACATTTTCGCGTCCTTTATTATTGAAACCGCCATTCCGTGCTTTTCGGGTGACACCCGGCATTCCATCCGTAACCGAACAACCTCTCGCTTTTTATCTCGCTGTCTCGCTCGCTCGGAACCAGAGGTATGTATGGCAAATTCATCTGACGTGATATCTGGGTAAGCACGGGTGCAACCACACTCTGCTGCAGCACGACTAATCTGAGTGTTAACCCAACCCGGTATCTGAACCGGGACGCTCTGGTTGGTCCGTCGTCGTTTCTACCCCCTCCCCTGAGTCCCCTCTCCACGACAGAAGTCGATCTCCAACCGCATTTCGAATTTCCTCCATCGTTGTTCCGATCATTCACCCCAGGCAAACACGACAACTCCTCATCCGAGCTGGCCGAGTGAAACATGCAGCTGACAGCTCACGCGGGCAAGGAGAACGGGAACGACCGCAGTCTGTCGCAATGTCCGGAGGGCAGTCTCTTCCGAATATCCCGCTCATGCAGTTTTCTCGTGCATCCTTAGGGTCTTCACCCATGCATACAGCTCTCTCCAACACGTTTCCGCTTACGCCGTTTGGACGGTTCGTCGGGGTTTAAAAAGGACTGATGCGTCCCCCGGGCAAATTATCAGGGCCGACTCTTCCATCGTTGGTTCGGGAGAATTCCGATATGGAGGAACGGAAAAAAAACCGTCACTGGACATTTGTATCGTAAGTATGGCGAAACCACATCTCTAAAAGACAGTTGCATAAGAACGCCATCCAGGCAGACCCGTCTGCCCACATGCCAATCCAAGACTCCCTGTAACGCCAGGTAATTTCCCCTTTCTTCATCGAATGGGGGAAAAAGGGCCCCCCGCCCCGCAAAACACCCCTCAATGCAAGCTGGTATAAACCTCAACTCCGGACCCAACATCCTCGAGAGAAAAAAGGAAGGAAAAAAAGGTAGAATAGGGTGAAGCGGGGCCCCTATGGCATACCCTCTTCCTTCTTGAAGAATGCGCATATGCCCTCCATACAGTCGATGCTCCTCAGTTCCCCATCCGAGAGCATGACGTCTTCCCAAAGAAGTTCTTGAACAAAGTCCCCGAAAGGGCGCTGGCCCTCACCCACCGCAGAGCGATCATTCCGGCTGCGAACACCCTCGACGAAGTAGACGCCGCCCGGGCGAACGACGCGCCACAGGTCCCGCAGGCTCTTCTCCTGCAAGGCATCCGTCCCGGCCCCGTCGTCAATGACGACGTCGAAGAGGCCGTGGACGGTGCTCTCGGCGCTGAAGCGGTCGAGGAAGGCCTCGTCGCCCTGGTCGCCGACGAAGACGGCGGCCTTGTCGTGGGTGCGGAAGAAGTCGCGCGCGCAGTCGCTGTCGCGCTCGATGTAGGTGAGGGAGAGCCGCGGGAAGTAGGCGACGAAGGTGTGGTAGCTGGCGCCCACGCCGGCGAGGTCGTGGGCGGCGGCGCCCGAGCTGTCGCCGCCGGGGGGGTTGCGGGAGTAGGACTCGCAGCCGAGGCCGATCTCGAGGAGCTTGGTGGGGCGGTCGCGGATGTTGGGCAGGTATTTCTCGTACATGAAGTGGTATTTGTGGATGGTGGCCTTGTGGCTTCCGTACTGGAGGGCGAGGTCGCGGAAGGAGGGGCGGGGGGCGGAGGGGTCGGGTACCGGTTCGGTGCTGTGGTTTAGATATCAGTATTGTATTGCTGGATGGACGAGGAGCCGGTGCCGAGGGCCGAGCGGGGAGGAGCGCGGGACATGTAGGGCACGGGGGGGCAGCAACTCACGTTTTCCAGCCCCAGGTGGCCTTTGTTGGGACGCCGTCAATGGGGCGCTGATAGAAGGTGTAGATCATGAAGAAGCATGTGACGGCCACCACGAGGAATAAGACGACTCGTGTCTCGATTTGCTTGTGGGCGCCTGGTTTAAGCAGCATCATGATGGGCTGCTTCGTATGTCCCCAGTACGCAGGGCCCAAATTCTCGGGATTCCTCTCTCACAGGAGAACGATCACCAGAGATGGAAAAAAGAGGAAAAGGGGACAGGCAACGAGTGACTTGAAGAGAACGGCAAGTGCAAGTGGACAAAGAAGAGAGAGTATAACAATAAAAATAAAAAGAGAGGGAGAGGGAGAGCGCGCGGAGAGAATGTAATATCGTCAGCGGGTCGCTTATGGGGGATACAATTAAAAGTCCCAATTGGCAGTGGCGGTCAAGTCGGCCTAAGCCGGTAGTGGCTTTGATGATCTTATTTCGTTCCCTTGTTTCGAAACCTCTTCCCCGGTCAAGGACTGCGAAGATGGATAGACATTCACAGACGAAGGAAGAAGCACAAGAAGGGAGGGACGAAGTGAAAGAAAGGAATGGACTGCCGTATATCGGGGAAAGCGCAAACAAAGATCAACGGGGAAGTTCGGATACATTCAACAGAACAAGAGGGAGAAGGGAAAGACTGCCATGAAGTCGGGAATGTTTGAATTGAATGCGTGAAAAGGGGAACGGGAACAGGGAAACGCCTTGCTTGGCTGACAGATTTTAATCTGCGACGAGCGGCGTTCAACGAGCGTAGCCGTAGCGTGGCATGGCAAGGCGTGGCGTGGCGCGGGTACCTTGTCAAAAGTTGAAATGTGGAATGCTTCTCCGTCTCCGTCTGACGGATAGCTAGCTAAAAGGTATTCCACGTCCTTGGCTCCGTTCCCAGCCGCATGTAAGGGCATTCGATAGCAAGCCTGACCGTTTTCAAAGGCGTTTAAGGAACACCACTTCGCAATGACTTCACGATAGCTGTGCTGCAGCAGGGAATTGCAAAGACTTGGAGATTCGTCACCTCGTACGAAGTAGGTAAGGTACTTCATTGACACCCTGAAATGAGGGACGCATTCGGCGATCGGAAAGGGTCCGGTGGATACATACATTGTACATGTATTACCTCTTTTCCCTAGGAGGCGCACATGGGAGATGATCATCATGATGCAAGGACCAAGCTCCAGTCGTTTGCGGTTGGAGTGCGCGTTGCTGGTTGGTCGACTTGCGGCGGTCAGTGGTCTTCTGAGTGGGGGTCCGTATGGGTGTACCTTGCAGAAGCTGTGACGTTATTCCTGTGCCAGTGCCTGTCATTTACACTAAGGCTAAGGTACTTGAATAAGGGCTCTCCTTCCTCCGCGAACATTTCTTACAAACACATAATTAGCCAATGGAAGGGACAAAGGGACGACTAAGTAAAGGATAGGAAGGAACAGCCCTAGCGCTAGCGGGGTCGGAGAGAGGAGCTCTTTCTTATCTAGAGACAAAGTGCCTACCTAAGGTAGAAACAACGGGTCGCTCTTTCCTCGATACGTGTACTTGAATTACACGCGTAGTGGGGGAACATACCGAAAGCCGCAGGGCAGACAATTTCAACTTTTAAAAATCCCTAAAAGTTTTATAGGCAGACGCCTGTATAGTGGTGTAAAGACTCGTATATAGTGGTACGCTAGTAGTAGGTAGAGTCTTTTAGTAGTATAGCCCTAGGCCAGCTAACTAATCAGAAGCCTAGAATTTTTTTCGTGCCCCTACACTACTATAACGCCATGCTATACTAATCTTATTTTCCTCTCTAGATAACTAATAACGAGTTAGGTAAGTAACCCCACCTACACCCTTACATAGAGCTATAGTATTAAATCAAATATCGGGATTTGATTCTATAGGGTTAGATCTACTAGTATCCTTGTTTTTAAAGCTGTTTTATAAGTTGCGGTTATATGACTTTGTATAGGTGGCCTGGGCAGTTAGCTAACTATAACGAAATATAGTATAGAAGTATATAGATTTAAATAGACGAATATATATAAAATCCGCACTATAGCCGCTAATAATACTACCTCGCTATAGGTATAATGGCCGAACGCTATTAATAGCGAGGAACTGCCCCCTACGCCGGTAAAATAGCCCTCCGGTATTAAGGGCATATAACTAATAGCCTACGTACTAGACTATACGTATCTGTGTGCTGCTATAGGATTAGGAATAAGCTAATAGTGACCTAGTAATTAAGATAGGCTGCTCGCGTGATACTACCAGATATATAGTGAAGAAGAAGCCTTAGGTATATATCTGTATATTTCTGTATAGTACTATATACTAATATATAAGATAGATCTAGCGAGGTATCGTACTTTAGCTTAAGTACGAAAAGGTGGGCGAGATTAAATTACGCGATTTTAATATAAAACGCCCGTAAGCTATCTCGGGGTTTTTTATCTAGCTGTTTAGGTAGGAGCAGCACGAGGACGACCGCTACGATAAATGCCTCGACGAGCGCGGTAATTTAAAGGGCTATATTACCCTGGAAGGTTTCGGTAACGGCGCCTACGGTAACTACTAAAGCGGCTCCGAGGGAGCTAAGTGTTCGCTGTATAGTACGTTAACTTATAGCTTCTTATAGCCCTATGAAAGATAGTACTAATTAGGATATAGTGGCGAAAAATAAGAAGCGCCGCGCCTTTAATACGGAGGATACTAACGGGATTTCGGGCCCCGATATATCGCCCCATAGCCTACGCGAAATAGCGAGGTGGCTAGCGGAGGAGGCAGATCGCCGTAAGTTACTATTCCGACCTTTATAGAGCTTTATAGACGTTTACTAACCTATACGTTAAGGGGAAAACGAGTAAATTTTTTTTTAGAGTTTTCTTTTATAAAGAAAAAACCCCTATTTTTTAGCTACCCTAGTAAACAATAATACCCATTTAACCTTTTAAAAATAAACCTTTATAAATATATATATTAGTAGTAGTAGATTATATATATATAATATAAGAGAATATATATATATATATACTATATAATTAAGTCCTTTATATTTTAATATATTAATCTTTTTTTAATAAAGGATTATCTAGATATACTAATATAGTAATTATAAACTAATAATTTCTATATAATATAAATCTTATAATCCTAACTAATTTTACTAATCTAATCTATAAAATATACTATACTAATAAGGTAAGTTATAGCGCTAGCTATAATAGATATTTAAAGGAAATTAGTTTATTAACTACGTTAGATTTATCGTAAAGTAATAGGACTATAATAAGGTCTTTATAGAATCTATGCCTTACTAGGAATTTAAATCTTTAGAATTAGGATATAATAGTAGTGGATTATAAGGAAAGACTAAACAGAATTTAAATAATATAGTACCTATAATAGAGTCTATACTACCTAAATTAAGGGTATAATAGACTTATATAGATATAACTTAATATAATCTATTATTATAAAATCTTTACTTAATTAAGGTTAATATAGTAGTACTATTTAAATATATAATAGCTATAACCCCGGTTTATAATACCTAAATAATAGATATTAATAAAGCTACTATATTCATAGACCACGTTATAGTCCGTGCGCCTATACGATAGCTCCTCTGTGTCGTATAAGCAGGACCACGATATGGCCTATAGGGGATCCAGGGGGGATCCACTCCATGACTAAGGGCTCCGGATATCAGGGACTTCGGGCATCAGGATATAATAAGGGTGGATACCGGAAAAGACCGGATAGGATCTAAATAATATAGTACCTATAACGGAGTCTTTACCACCTAAATTAAGGGTATAAGAGACTCTCCTAGATATAACTTAATATAATATATATACACGAGATTTCTGCTCTACTAAGTTAATCATTTAAGTGCCTATTTAACGTGCGATAGTTATAAGCCTGGTTTATAACGCCTAAACGATAGATATTAATAAGGCTACCCCTAGTCCACTATAAAAAAGCAATCACGTCTATATAAGCATGCTTAAATAACTACTATCGACCTAATTAGAGTAATTAAGAGATTAATTAACCTACCTATTAATTGACTAACCGATAAACGATAATCTAGTAAAGATATCTTCTAACGTATTTAACGCCGAATAAAAGGCGGCCGCCACAACCCTTATTAACTAGAGGGATTAGGTAGTTTAGGAGCGCGCCGTATGCGGTAAATCGGCCTCCTACTAGAATAACTGCCTTAATCTAAAGCTAAGCGATAAGGAGGCTAACGCCTATCTCCTCCCTATACCTATGCCCCTTAATATTCGTAAATATAAAGCCCTCGCCGTGGACCCTAACGCGGAGGAGGCTACGGCCACTACCGTTACGGCTACTCCGTTTTCCACTATCACGCTAAAGGGCGATAAGGCCACGGATACTATGGAATCCACGGCTACCACGGCCGCTACCACGGTTACCGGTAAAAGGAAGATGGCCGCTCGCCGGAAGGTTACGGCTATAACGAAAGAACCACCGACTAAAATGCCTACGTCTATCGACGACCTCTCTAAAAAGGGGCGCACGCGCTACCTATAAAATCGCCGTATATACCGCGAGGAAAAGGTAGACTACGACGCGTAGTAGAAGAAGTTTAACGAGGTACGCTCCTATATCGAAGGGACCGTATACACCACGTTACGTAACCTCCTCGCCTAGCTATAGGATAATACTATAAATAACCCGCGGGCCTGGATTACTCTCCTGCACGCGCACACAGGACCGATACCTATAGACCTCCGTAAGGAAGCCCTAGTCCTATACCGATAATACACCACGCCTATAAAGGCTATACCTAAGGATATAGACGCCTAGGT